TGAAAAGTACATTAAAACATCTGTAATGAGAATTATCATAAGAAATTCTCAATATTAATTAAATAATAATCAATATATATATATATATATCGATTTATATTTAATTAATATATGAAGTTTCTCGTGAGAGATTACCATTATTAATGGTCTTAATCTCTTTACGCCAATTTACATGTGACATTACATTTGTCGTTGATATCAGTAGGCGATGAACATATGAAATATTTCTGATTAAGCGGATCCACCACTCGAAGAACACAAATCTCATCTTGAGTTGCTTCTTGGCGATCTCTCGAAGAAACTTTATTGCAATTTGGACGAATAATCTCACCGTATGATTTATTTGTGGACCGTAACATATCATAAGTCCATGCACCTGATAATGCTCCGATCACCGGTGAAACTATATATAACCATAAGTCCTTATAACATCCCCATATAAATGCTGGCCCTAAGCTTCTTGCTGGATTCATCGATGCTCCCGAAATTGGCCTAATCAAATACATGAAAAAAACAAAGCACTCTTAATTATTAATTGTACATTCTAACAAAACAATCATAATTTATTTTGTAAAACATGTTATAAAAGATTTAGATTATCACCCGGACATAAGTATGTCGAGTACTACGGTCGCACCAATAGCAACGCCTGCGAATGATCCGTTGGCTCGTTTATCAGTAGCGACAGCAGATATCACGAACATGAGGTTGAAAGTAGTGATGAACTCCATTACGAACGACGTCGTGTTAGAATCTGATGGATATGTTCCAACATAAACATCGCCTTTGAGACTACAAACGTCGTCGTTTAAATGGAACACGAGCCGTAGAGTTGCAGCTGCTAAAGTCGATCCAAGAACTTGGGCAGCTATATACCCTGGAACCTATAAAAAGATCGATTACAAGTTACAACCACATTACACATACAATATATGGTTCTCGTTACTGGTTAGTATTAATTACAATTATAAAAAATGAAAAAGAAAAAATAAAGTGAAATGTGGTATTATTCCTTTGAATTTAATTATTGACAGTACAGAATCATGAAATGAAATGAAACAACAATTACAAAATACTTTGATTGGTAACATGAATTATCATAAATTTTGTTTGCATTAATAGCTTAACTAAAAAATGTCACTAATCATGAGTTATTTTTACTTTTTCGCATTAAATTTTGAGTTACAATATATTATAGTTGTATTATAAATTTGACTTAACTCTTTGTAAAATAACTAACTTAACTCCAATTCGTAAATCATCAAAATTTTGATGAATTAGAGTTTGACTTACCTTTTTCCTATCAAAACTAACTTTTTTTTTTCTTTTATTAATTTCAGTATAAATAATTTTATATATACACCAAATATACATAATTTCTAAAAAAATACGGTATTTTTTATCATTATTAAAAAAATCACAGTTATTCTATTTTATCATTGTAGTACTTTTTCATAAAAAACATTCGATTATTTATTATATATATAAAATATGTTTTGGAATGTATGTCACTTAATTGATTTCAAAATTATGTTATAGATATATATGTATTTATGTATATATATATAAAGTGAACTATTCTTAAATTAGTATTAATTCACTTAATATAATTTATAATTAAATTAATAATAAATATTATTACTGATCATTTAAATTTATATTATTTTTAATAATACATATTACAATTTCTACTGCAAAAAAAGTTAACAATCAAGATTTTAATAAAAATACTAACTCATATTTTATACAGCAAACTTACCACATAAATTTACTGTTTTATAACAAAATTTTACTACAAACTACATCGAATTATAACATCAACTCAACTGTAAATCGACTTTAAAATTACTTATTATGTTTTAAATGTGTGCAATAATAACATTTGTATAAATTATCGTATTAGTTATATATCAGTTTTTTTTATGACAATTATAGATATTAGGGATATTACCTGTTTAAAAGGGAACTTTTTAGAAGAGGCAAAGGCAATGGAAACAGCAGGGTTGAAATGTGCACCGGAGACATGACCGATTGAGTAGATCATAACCGTTACGGTTAATCCCCATACCAAAGCTATACCAGGAAGTGTTACCGGTTTACCGTACGTCTCATTTACCACGATGGCCGAGCAACCGGCAAATATCATAGTGAATGTCCCCACGAACTCGCCAATCAACTAGAGAATACAAAATAAGTTTTTAGTTATATATCTATAAAGATTATACGATCACAGTCATATTAAGGAACTATTTCATATATTTTATCTACATAACCTGATCACCCTAAAGAAAATCATATTATAGTTAATGTTGCAACATCGAAAATAAAATGGGAATGAAATGAACCAATAACTCAGTTTAATTTACATCACATATTAAAACTTTACCGAATTCGAGTTCAATGGTATTTATGATATATTTGTTTTCAATATCTAGAATACCGAAGCTAAGAAACATATATATATATATATAAAAAAAATCAATAGAAACAAAAGTCTTGTACTATGGGGACGATTCGAAATAGATGTCAATCCGGTTTATTAATGACTATAGTACTTCCCTAATTTGAAACCCCGAGAGACAGAAATTCAAACCAAAGTCAAGATTGAGCATGCATATGATACCAAAACGAAAGATTTTGAAAACATACATGTCACAATAAAAATGATATAAATCATTACCTTTTGAACGAAGGATACAGATACAAGAGGACCGGGAGAATTTGGTGACTGGGAATCACCACCGGATCCACCATCTTCGATGTCGGAGACGGCAGTTTGAGTCTGAGCAGTAATATCAGAGATCTCGGCCATTGATGAGACTATAGTGACCTTTCTCCAACGATGTTTATGGCTTGCTCATCTCAGAACTCAAATGGTCAACTCCACTTTGTTTTCGTTTATCAGCAAAATAACAAAGTTGACTTTTTATATTCTATACCACATGTTGATCCATTCTTTGTAGAATAAAAACTAAATTTTAATTATTCTAAACACGCAAATAGGAGAAAGAAAGGCCAAAAATTAAAGAAATTATATTAGCTTGATAGTTGACTTGATTATTTTTGTCACAGAAAAAAAAACAAGACATGGGATTTGTCATTTGTGGTTCTTTTGATTAATTAAGAAAACGTGAGGAGCATGTAATTTCGGTTCAAATTTATATAGTAGCGTACGTTAAAACAAAATTCGTTTCTCTAAATTTGTGTAACTCTAGAAACACTTTCAAACTATCGCTAAATTTCGCAGCAAACTATTGACACCAATATCTACAAATGATCTAAAAAGGGCAATGTTGTGACAAGTAAGAAGTAAACATAAAATCTTACAAACATATATCGCTAAAAAGAGTAAAACAATTGTTGAATTGTGGAGCCTATCTTTTGTTGATGTTGTGAAAATCTGACGACCAGATCGACGTTGGTAGATCTGAGCGGTCATGCTCATGTTAGATGGTATCCCTAAGAATTGTAGAGGTTGGAACTTCTGAGGAAATAACTATAACTAAGGTTATTTCAGATACTTATTTAGATATGTATATGTTTGCTTGTGTTTGTAAGAATTTTAACTGGTTTGAATCGTAAAATTGGATCAGATGCTTGAAAAGATAATTTATTCATGCATAGTTTTTCAGAGCTACATAGTTTAAAACAACATTAAATTTAAGTTTCTAAACTATGAAATGAAGATCCTCTCGAAGAACTTCCTCTGTTCGTGAAGACATTGTCAGAGCTTTTAGTCGAAGGCTTAGGTCGTGGCCCTTGTTTCTTCTCCCTTTTTTGTAGCTATATTTTAGAAACTTTTAGGGTTTTTTTCTCTTTTTTTCTTTGGAATTCCTTTTTATTTTATGACTTCTTTATTTATTTATATGTTCAGTTCAAACACTAAATGATTTCTGATACGTCATTATTAAAGTTTAATTTTACATGGATTATAATTAACATGGCAAAATCATTTATATAATAATAATCAACAGATGTAATTTACCTAATAGTTTGCCCTAATTGATGTTTTCATATTTGTTATCATTTAAAATAAACGAACTAAAAATTAGAAAACTCTCAATTTTGATTATAATAGAATACTAAAATTCACATGGACAAAAATAGGAATAGATACAACTATAAATCTTATATATATTTGATACGCTATCTAAAAGTTAGATTTAAGTTTCAAATACTTAACAAAGTACATTAAATCTAGAAATAATTTTTTTAAAAAAAAAAAACTGAGTTTGTCTCGAATTGTTACAACCATGGGCGCGAATATAATTCACAAATTTAAATGCTTGACCATAAAGTTTTTTTGTGTAGTATACGGCCATATTATAATTGAAAACTTTTAAATCGGGTTATAATGGTTGAGTTGTAGTGTTGTACTACTTAATTTATTATTAAAATTTTAGAAATATTTACAATCTCTCCTATAACATCTGTTTTAGTCAAATGTATCTCTTGATACTAATTAGTTAACATAGTCACGAGGAGAAATATTTGAAATTTTTTGTTGACCAACAAAATGTAAATTTTATATAAAAATATATATTATAATTAATCAATCAAAATCTTTTTTCTTGGTATAATTTGTGTATTCAACTTAGAATTTACGTCATAGAGGACAGTTTAATTAAAAGAAAACCTAAGAACAAAACAAAGTTAAATTTTGAAAACAGAGATAAGCATGTCATTTCAAATGAATAAATAGTTTTTTTTTTCTTTGACCAAAAAGCTCATAAATAGAAACAAAATATTCATTAGGTTACCATAAATTGTCATTCAAGTCAGATTTCCGTATAAATAACCAAGTGTGCATTTCTCTAAAGCACCACCAAACTTTAATCATAGAAAGACAAAAAGTTACTTTAACATCAAGTATGAGACTAGAGCAAGATCTAGTAGATGAGATTCTTGAGAGGCTTCCGGTGAAATCTGTACTCAGATTCAAAGTAGTGTCCAAAACATGGAAATCGACGATTGAATCTCAATATTTCAAGGAGAGACACATGATCCGTCGGCAACTAAGTAACCCTGATTTCCTTCTTGTCGATGATCAACATGATGATGATCTTATGAACGATGAAGAATTGATGATTAGGACATTAGTGTTGGGGTCTTCGGAGCCTGAAGCTGAACCGGTGTTTAGTCTCCAACTATCCTTTGATGATGTCTCCAGAAGCTGTGACGGCCTCATGTGCATCTACAATTTTCAGAGATCTATACTTATGGTCAATCCCAGCACAAGATGGATGCGAGAAGTTCCTCCAGCAAGTCTTCAAGAACGTACTTTCCAAAGGTATGATCGTAAATACGAACCTAACTTGTTAGGCTTTGGGAAAGACATATGCACGAAAACATACAAGTTGGTTTGGTTGTGCAATTCATTGCAAATAGATCCACCAACTACTTGTGAAGTTTTTGATTTTAACATCGATACATGGAGGCATGTGGAATCTTCTCCCTACCGGATTCTTGTTGATCATAATCCTACATACGTAGATGGGTCTCTGAACTGGTTCATCTCCAAGAGCAGTACCGAGATTAATGTAATATCTTTTGATTGCCACACCGAGATTTTTCAAGAGATTTCAGGATATCCACTTACTCAAGAAGATGAAACTCAGATCATCATGTGCAATCTGAACAATCGTCTGTGTGTATCAGAAAAGAAGTGGCCAACACAAGACATATGGACATTAAATTGTTCAAACATGATGACATGGGAGAAGATGTATTCACTAGATCTATCTTCTTGTCCTGATGGCTTGCTAAGCGGTGAGAGGCGGCCAATAGCTGGACCACTCGCAATTCTGAATAATAAGAAGCTATTGCTTTTTGATGAGCATGGACCGCATGGTTATAATCCAAATGTTGTGATGTATGACTTGGAAACAAGATCATATTCCCTATGTTTCGATGCAGAATCTGTGATACTGGTAACTCCTTATTTTCAAACTTTAATCACAATCCCTTAAGAATTTTGGTTTTAATTTCTTCTATTGAGATATATAATTGTAATTTCATTGTCGTACTGAAATTGGCTGATACTAATTGTTGAGATGGAGTACAAACTCTTTGTAATCAAAAAGATCTTGAAAACAAAACAAAAAAAATTATTTATGATATAATTTGAGTTAAAACAAAAAAGAGCTCTTGAAAAGAAAAAAGTTTTCGACCATATTATTTCAATGCTCTCATGTTATTCTTCGACTTTGGTAGGACTATTGCGTGATGGGTTTGACCTCGAGTTGACTGGTATAGATGCATTGCCAATTTCGCAAGCACACAAGTGAATCTTGATGATCCGATTAGGATTCATTTGGGAAAGCACTTGACTATGTGTAGTTATTATCTTGGCCTTTTAGGTTTTAACTGTTGATGATGGTTATCTATAATCAGCTTAATTATCGGTGATGATTCAAAACACTTGAGTTATGTATAGTCTAGAGATGTTAATCTAAGAAGAAAACAAGGTAAGCAAAATGTGTACATAGATGTGTTGTTGTGTCATGTGTGAAGGAGATGTGTATCCTCTCTCTGTTCTGCTTATCCAGATACCACAGATGAGAATAGTTTTAAGCCAATTGTATGTTAGTATCTTCTCATATTCGTGTACCACACTCCAAAATACCCTTATTTAAATACTAACAATTTAAGCAAAATATTTTACTAATAAATATTATCATTAAAAAATGAGAGAAACAAATCTAGAACATTATAATCAAATATTTATGTAATGGATTTATTGAAATCTATAAAGAAATATTATTAGAAATCAAAATATTTTGGAACTTAGCTAATCTGTCTAACTAAGTTTATCTTTTACAGCTATTACTAGATATGAGTACAATGGATGTATTCATCTTTTTAAAACACAATAACATCTGTTTTAGTTAATATATCTCTTAATATTAATTAGTTAGCATAGTCACTAGAGAAACATAAGATAAAATTTGTTGACCAGCAATGTAAATTTAATATTAAAATATATATTATACTTAATCAGAAAAAAATCTCTTTTCTTGGTATATATTTTTGTGTGTTCAACATAGAAATTACACTATATAACAGTTTAAAAGAAAGCCAGCTAGTAAAAACAAAAGTTAAAGAACCTTTTGAAAGATCAAGATAACATGTCATTTCAAATGAATAAATAGAAAATTATATTAATCTTTTGACTAAAATGCTTATAAATAGGAAAAATCTTATTATCTTATATACATTATCTTACCCTAAATTGTCATTCAGCTCAATTTATGGTATAAATAACTAATTGTGCATATGTCTCTCAAGCACCACCAAACTTATAATCCAATGAATGAAAGAAAAAAAGTTACTTTAACATCAAGTATGAGAGTACATCAGGATCTAGTAGAGGAGATTCTTGAGAGGCTCCCGGTGAAATCTTTACACAGATTCAAAGTAGTCTCGAAAACATGGAACTCGTCGATTGAATCTCAATATTTCATGAAGAAACACATGATCCGTCGGCAACTACAAGAGCCAGATTTCCTTCTTGTCGATGATCAAGTTGCTGGTGAACGTATGGACGATGAAGACATGACGATTAGGACATTGGTGTTGGGCTCTTCCGACCATGAAGCTGAGCTTGAGTCTACTCTCCAACTCCAGTTCACCTTTAATGATGTTACCAGAAGCTGTGACGGCCTCGTGTGCATCTACCATTTTCGTAGATCTATACTTATGGTCAACCCAAGCACAAAATGGATGCGAGAAGTTCCTTTAGCAAGTCTTCAACGACGTACTTTCCGATGGCGCAATAGTGGAGACGAACCTAACTTGTTAGGCTTTGGGAAAGACATATGCACAGATACATACAAGTTGGTTTGGTTGTATGCTTCAATGGAACACTTACACACTACTTGTGAAGTTTTTGATTTTGTCATCAATTCTTGGAGGTATGTGGAATCTCCTCCCTACGGGCTTATTGATGATCATAAGCCTACATACGTAGATGGATCACTTCACTGGTTCGTCTGCAAGGAAAGTTCCGAGGTAAGAATATTATCTTTTGATTGCCACACCGAGATTTTTCAAGAGATTGCAGAATGTCCACTTGGTGATCAAGAAAATGAAACTCGGTTCATCATGTGCAATCTGAACAATCGTCTGTGTGTATCAGAAAAGAAGTGGCCAACACAAGACATATGGACATTAAATTGTTCAGACATGATGAAGTGGGAGAAGATGTATTCACTAGATCTATCCTCTTGTCCTGATGGCTGGCTAGCCGATGGGGAGTGGCCAATAGCTTGTCCACTCGCAATTCTGAATAACAAGAAGCTATTGATTTATGATGAGCATGGACCGGATGGTTATAATCCAAACTTTGTGATATATGACATGGAAACAAGATCATATTCCTTGGGTTTCGCTGCAGAATCTGTGATTTTTGTGACTCCTTATTTTCAAAGTTTAATCTCAATTTCTAAAGGATTATGGGTTTAATTTCTTCTATTGAGATCTATTATTGTAATTTCGTTATCGTACTGGTTATACTAGATTGCTGTACTCCAAATTAGCTGAGACTAATTGTTGAGATGGTGGACAAACTCTTTGTAATCGGCTATAATATCTATTTATGAAATAAAAGTACTGAGTTAAAAAAAAAAGTTTTCGTCTCAAAATATATGCTACCTATATGTGTTGTTATTTGTAGTTCAGTACCGTCGTGGTTTGCTTATCTAGAAACAAAAAAAAAAAAGAAGCTATTGGCCAGAACATGTGCAATCGAATAATCGTTTGTGTGTAACACAAGGGAATTGGTCAAGACAAGACAATATATCATATATGGTTATTAGATTATTTGAACAAGACATGTGAGAAAGCCTATGCGTTAGATTCTGTCTTCTTGTCCGCTCGCCATTCTAAAGAGGAAGAAGCTAATGCTTGTTGGTTTGTTGGTTCCAACGTCGAAACTGTGAAATCGGTTTAGCCTTGTTTCCCAAGCTTAATCTCAATATTCTAATATTTGGCTATGATTGTAATAATTTCATTGTAGGGCACTAGTATGCCTAATTTAATTTCTCTTTTCTTCTAGTTTAAAATTGAATGATGCAAGTATACCTAATAGAATCAATACAGCAAGAACCATAACTCCAATTAGGTCTCCAACTATGGAACTATAATTAAATGTTTACTGGTTTTAGTGCTTAAAGAAAGGTTTAGGTTGTCATGAGAAGATCACTGCAAGAATTTATTTGGTTAAGTAAATCAGATCTAACCTAAAAGCGAAAGATAAAAAGGTGAAAGCTAGCTAGTGATTTCTCAGTGAGAGCAGCAAGCAGAGTAGTGACTTAAAGTCTGATAACTTTTGATAAAACATTAGTTTGCTCCCAAGTCTAGTCTAACACAATTAGGACAAGGACATGAAGACCAGATATAACAAAAATAGCGAAGCCAACAGAGTGATAATGCTCACACGAAACCTGTAAAGGAATTTGGCTTGGTCTCCAACAAGAAATCAACACCTGTCCTCACTCTAGGTTGCTAATGACATTTCCTAACCGATATCCTCATCTCTTTTTTAGGCATCGGCTTAAGACTTGATGTACTTTGCATCGTTCACGTGAACGAAACAAAAAAGCATAAACTCCATGCCAATTCTCAAAACCTTGGATTTCAACATGTTGGAGAGTCTTTCTTTCGGGGTTGAAGTAGAAAACATAAAACGGTTTAGATTTAGATGTAATGCCCGTCGAGAAAACCCGCAGCTGTAACTCCGGCCAAGAAAACATAGTAGATATTAAAGAGTTGATTATACGGCAGAGTGTAGAAATATTCCGACCATTCTTGTTTCTCGACATCCTCTAGAACCCAAAGATGCAACTCAAGGGCAATGCCATATTTGCCAACAAACTTACAACTAACCACACATAATTTACCTTTATAGTTAATCAATTTATCATCATACCCTTCTGCTTCAATGAATTTGTATTTCTCAGACCTAACATCAAGACAAACTATCAAACGCTTTTCATTCCTTTTTCAGCAAAGAAATACAAAACCCCATTGATGCATACACTCTCTTGACGCACACGATAATGGTTAAAGGGACAGTGGATCTTCCTCCACTTCATATCTCCAGTTCCTAATGTCAGGACTCTATGATCATCCCAAATGGACAATACTTTGAATTGCTTGTCAATCGGATCAAACCCTAAAAACATTTCTGAATTTATATTATTGCGCTTGCCCGGTTGAGATAAGGTCGCATACTGTCTCGTGATAGGGTTATATATCACAGGCGCTGCATCCTCATCCTTTTGTTGTGAGATCTTCACGCCAGAAAAAATTATCAAACCTGATGTAAAGCCACCAAAGCCTTGAGGGCACATGATTTAGAGAGCTTCATATGAAAACTGGCCCTAACTTTCCCACCATATGGATTCCGAAGCTGAGGCGAAGAGAAGAAGCCCCACTCATCATAGCCTCGTTGGACGGCTAATAAGAGACGCGGACGAGCCCATGACCTTGTCAAGAACAGCTCCGTGAAATATGGACCGCGAAGCATGGAACCCCATAGCTTCGAAGGCAATCTCGAGGATATCTCGACAACGAGATCATTCGGGACGGAATCTGAAATTTCTCCTCTCCTCTTCATCATGATCACGAGGGAGAGATACACGAGTTTAAAAACTAGTTTACTGAGACTCCAAATAATATATATAGAGTCGGCGCTAACCTAATAAGACACCAAGATGTGAGATTAGCGTACAAAAGACGGTACAAGGTCATTCATTTATACCAGTTCCGGTATGGAGAAATATTGAGTACTTTGGTTTGGCTTTCTCCGGTTACTAAATTTAATAATGTTCGTCAGCGCACAAGTGGACTTTTTGTTTCATAAATGTTGTATGAACTATGAAGACATGAATTTTAGCTCTGACTTGTGGAGCAAGGGAAGCTATCTTGTTTTAAAAGCACTTGACTTGACTTGATTATTCGATTTGGGTAACCAGAGTTTTTAAAAGCACTTGACTTTGTATTATATATTCACAATATTTGTCCTTTTAGGCTTTAACTGGTTACTTATATATAATCATCTTTACTTATCGATCATGATCCAAAACACTTGATTTATGTATAGATCTTAATCAAAAAGAAGAAACCAAGATAAGCAAAATGCGTATATAGATGTGTCGTTGTGTGGGGGAGAATAAATTAATCAAAGATTTGGTAGAGAGACTCATATTTTTCTCTTTTTCTAGAGGTACTGTGTTTGTATTCTCTCTCTGTTCTGCTCCCACCACGTCTTTGCGTGCACTTCCCCAAATCGTTCCCGGCTGTTGATTAAACAAAAAAAAAAAAGCATAAATCTCGGTTAGCTACGGTACAACATCTTGTGAATGTTTCAACTTTTTAAGGTAACCGATAGCCTAAACCGGAAACCATAGTAATCATAAACGCTTAGTTTAGATGTTTGTTGTACCTGAATCTGACCCGACGTAGCTCTCTAGTCCCATCTGCTAATTGTCTGATGGTAATGTAAACGCCTGGCTCGTCCTCTTCGATCCACTCAGCCTGCATTTCACTAGCATTGCTCATTGACGGCGGTTCATCTCTGGAAGATGTGGTGGTTCGTGCTGCATCCATTGGACCTCCTCCGTGATGACCATAGTTGCTAGAGCCGCCATAAAACTGATGCGGGACACTAACTCCTGGAGGTCTGAAGTTGTGTCTTGGAGTCCAGTCTCTGCTTTCTCTCGCTGATTCCATCTTCGAGTAAGTTGAGTCTCTCTGTGACTGACAAATATAACAACAGGACCAGGTTCGACAAAAAGGTTCTTATTATCTGAATGAAAGACTAAAACGAACATTGCAAATCAATCAGGCAAATGTATAAAGAGTTATACCTGGTCCTCGGATCTTGCAGGCGTTTGAAGAGCTTGGCGATTGAATCTCTGTACATTGTAGAGCTCAACGATTTTGTCATAGTTCTCACCCCACCAACGTTGAGCTTGCCACTTGTCGAACATCTCCCGGCTTTCAAAACAAGACACAACAGGTAAATGTGTTAGTTTCAGCTTCGAATGTCATGAAAGTCAAAACTATCTGAAAAGCTTGAGACATTACAGAAACAAGAGACAGACTTGCAGGTTCTGTTCTAGTCACATAGAGGTTGCTATTTTGAGAAGTTCATATTACCTAAAGCGGATACGTTTCAGATCATTTCCTCCACTAGGAAGCGAAGCGAATGTGATATGGACACCAGGTTCTACTTGAGCCATCCACTCTTTAGGCTCTTCATCATCTAGTACCACATCACAAGACTGAGCAGAGATAGATTCTCGATCGTTTCCATAGATTGAAGTGAACTTTGGCTCTGACCGTCCCGCTTGATGGTGAGAGGAGGTTGTAAAGTCCCAAGCAGGAGTTGAACCGGCGCTTCCACCCATGTAAGGGTATGGAACACCTTCAGAAGCATTGTCGAAATCTGGGAACGGTCTATGTCCTTTCTTCATGGGACTGCTTGAGGAACCAGTACATGGCTTGCATTGTTTATAAGCACCAGAGAATTTCATAGCCATATCTTTAATCTGCATAACATAAGTACGCCCAAAAAAAACGCATTTTAAAACGCAATAATGTTTGAATACAGCAGTTTACTAGTATATATATTTTTTTAGTCCAATGAAGTAAAAGGAGGTCAACTATGATCGTTCTTAAAAGAACATCAATAAAGCTATGAGATCTAACATCTTGTCTTCTCTAGTATGCAAAACACAATCATAACGGCCATCTCTTCCTTTTGTTTTTTTTGTTTTTCCTATTGATTTGCTAAATAGTTGCCCCCACTCTCTAGGCAAGAATCCACTAAAGCTTATTTGAGAAAAAAAAAAGTGTTTAAATCAGACTTCATTAGCAATATTCATCAAGGCATGACCCCATTAGCTTTAATCCTAACAAAATCAACTGGATGCATAGTTTAAAGATATTTTTTAATTCTTTCAGTGGTTGTTTGACTTTCATGTCTAGTCACACTGAAGAGAAACAAACACTGACATAACCTATTAAAGAGAGATTGGTGAAAGAATCCAAAGAAGTGAAAGTTGCATCTCTGTCTAAACAAACAGTAAGCACTATTACTAATGAATTCAAACTCTATGCTTTGGTATCTGATAATCATAAAAAACAAAAACATACTCAAAGATAAAGAAACGAATATCAGTCAAAATCAATGGACCGTACGTTTTCTTCTTATACATTAAAGAGTTGCTTTATTTTTATCTTCTGTAAGATACGTTAATTGGGGTCTGTGTCTTAGTTTTGTTTCACTAGCAAGGCAATTAAGGAAATAAAGCAACAAAATAAAGTGAAAAAAAACAAAAATTAAAGCAGAAGGATCAACAAAGAAAGAAGAGATTCGGGGATTGAGGTTGAGAGAGAGAGAGAGAGACCTGTGTGGTTAGGCTTTTGACGGCTTCTTTAGTATTGGGAGTGGTGCCACCACGCGCTCCGATTTCGACTTCCTCACCTCCGTCTGCTTTCGTACAAGCTATGCAAGTGAACATCTTTTGCCTCTTTTCGTGTATCTCTGCCTTTTCAGCCCTATAAAATCGTATAAAACAGAGTCTACTTCAAACATCATCACAACCAAACCTCTACTACTACTACTCAATTGAATAAAGACTAGAAAACAAGAAAGCAAATTAAAGTAGAGATCTAAACAATAAAAAGGGATCCACAATACGACATATATAACACGGTATAGGCTTATGTAATCATAGTACAAACATTTTAAATTTGATAAAATAAAATAAGAAGCTATAAAATAAAAAATATGAAAAAATGGTCCTACAAGAAAATAGTAACAGACAATTGTAAACATTAGTTAGAAGTTAGATCATAGGAAAGGGAATTTGGATGCCAATTGTCGTTTTCTCTAACGCAAACACAACACAAAAGGACAAAAAGTTTGTGACGTCTCTCTCTCTCTCTCTCTCTCTCTCTCTCTCTCTCTCTCTCTCTCTCTCTCTCTCTCTCTCTCTCTCTCTCTCTCTCTCTCTCTCTCTCTCGTTAGAAAACAACTACTCAAAAGAAAACAGAGACTTGATAAAGTTGGTTTGGTTTAGTTTTAACTCTTAAAAGAACCAATGCTATATACTTCAAGAACAGTATCCGGAGCTTTGAGCTACGGTGGTTCATGATTAGTGGAGTGATCTTGATGCAGACAAAAGTGTTGAAAGATATTTTAAAACTACAAGTAACACTTTTCTTTTTTAAAACAAAAGATATTAGAACCAGAAAAGAAAGAGAACTTGGGGATCAGAGGATAGGACCCCAGTGAGAAATCTTTATTTTTCTTTTTTGTTAACCCTGAGTAATAATTTATTTACAAGTAATACTCTATAGCAGTAGAGACAAATGTTTCTTTATTCTACTTTAAATATATTTTTGTGTGAATTTGTTGGTTTTAAATAGTTCTATTGTGCGAAGCAAGAGCCCATACCTCAACTAACTAACACATCATAAAGTTAGAAGAATATAACATTTTTTGCAGTAGCCGAAATTCCTGACATTTTTTAAAGATTAGATTATATATTGAGAGACTACAAAAAGAAAACAATACTATAAATTGACAAAAGAATCAAATAATACGATTCTGATTCTCCCCCCGTGTTTAACACCATTCAAGACCGGAAAACAAATATATAAATATGAAAAAAAACTATTGGAATCACTAGAAAAGGAAATATATTCAATGTTTAACAACAAAATGGAATCTTCACAGTCACGTGTTTGTAAAAAGAAAAAGAGTTTGGTTACTATATTAGGGTTTTGTGTGATGATGGACCAATCTAAAGCGTGTCGAGAGATGAAAGCTACGGATATGAATGTTATTCGATACAAAAGTATAAAAAAAACTGATGCATGAGTCATTATTATTCTTTCACCCAGAAAACGACTTCCTTTTTTCTGGGTTTTTTTTTAAAAAATTGAATAATCCAAAATAAAAACTTTGATTTTATCAGGCATTGAATTTGATTTGAATGGAATAATGGGATTTTTAGATTTACTCACCTCTTGTTTCGATTTATGTGAGGAATTGAATTTGAAGATCTTTGAGCTCTGCTTTCTTTCCTCTTTTAAGGTTTAGTCTATTTTCGTCGCCGGCACGAGTGGGGTTTCTTCTGTGTCTAATCCTATATATAGGCCATCAATGGCTGCACAAGATTAGTAATCGTAATAAATGTGGGGAAAACAAATTAAAAGGACGAATGAATTGATGATGAATTTAGCTTTTAATGGAGGGGGAAATAAAAATTCGGCGTATGCGTCGTTCTTTGAAGTAAAAGCAAAAGCAAAAGTTGGGAAACAATAAATACCGGGAAACTTTTGGAACGACAAACGACGAAGAAACTAGATAAATTTTCCGGGAAAGTTGTAGAAAATCTGGAAAAAAAAAATCTGTTTTGGAAATGCTTAGAAAGCGGGATAGAAAATCGAAAACTTAGAGAAATTTTGGAAACTTATATTAATATCGTAAAGAAAAAAAAAAGAGAGAGAGAAGTGACGAATCGAATCTGTCAAAATCAAATCAATCAAGTGACAGTGGAGGAAAATGTAACAGGTAAAGGCAAACGCGAAATAAACTTGAAAAGATCGATCGAAAAAATAAAATAAATAAACATTGATCAATCTCTGTTTTCTTTCTCAATCGCTTCTACAGAAGCAGAGAGAAGAAAAAACAAAGCAACGAATCTCTGTTTCTCTTTTTCCGAGAAAAATCTGAAAAGAGGATTTCACTGACTGACCTGAAATGTCTTTCTTCGTGCGAAGATCGATTCTGATTTCTGAACAAAATCTCCACTCTCACGAAGCAGTAAAACTCACTGCGAAATTTTCCAAACCAGAAATCTCCCGATTTGTTTTTCCCGGAGAGAAGAAATTTAAAATGAGAACGGAGAAAAACGAACCGGGTTGATAATTCGGGTTATCGGGTCAGACTAGGACTAATACGGAGCTCCGACTTCTTCTTTTTTGTTGTCTAACTATAAACTGTGACGAAGAGAAAGAGAGGAGACAAGAGCTACTCTGTGTATTTATACGTGGAGGAAAGAGAAGTCTTTTAACGGCGTTAAGCGTTTATATACAAACAAAAAACAAACACCGTGAGTTTTTTAACGGAGAAGCCTTTGGTGTGCCGATGAAATATGGTCTCGTTAAGAGACGGCAGCGAGGGCCCATGTTGTCCACACGGTGACGGAGATGGCTTACGTGTGCTGGAAGTAGGTTACGTGGCAGCTTATGATTGGTGGTAGACAGCTGAAACCGGGTCGGGTTATGGTCACGATACATTTGACAGGCCAAGGGAACGGTCGCATCACGATTCGCTTTGTTGTGGGTTTCGTCTCGTCTCTTTTAATTTATTTGAATACTATATATTACTATTATACAATATAAAAATATATTTATGTATCATCGTTTTGTCTTGTTTTAGATATGATCATGTGTGCCAATTTTTTTTGTTTTTTTGTGTTTTTTTATTCTCAGATGAGTAAAGAAGAATCATGTGAGAATATAATCGATAACTTGATAACTGAACTATACATATTAAAAATAAAAAACAGCAAGAAGAAAACCTTCTGTATCCAAGTAGTTTCTTTAGGCTGGAGATCACGAAAATGGAGATTTCAGAGTTCTCTCCGTTGCTAGTGAGGGGAGTCAGATTTTCTCTTAGATTACATGATTATCTAATCATTAAGGTTATTAAGTTATATATTATGGTGAAAGTGTAAGTTGAGTTCTTAGATAGTACACGGTCTCCATCATGGATTAATGTTGGAATGGTAGATGCAAAATTGAAGTATGGGATATATACAGCTATTTGTTTGCACATGTGATATGTTTGTTTGTCATGTACGTTTCATTTATACATTCCGACCAAATATTTGTTTATGTATTTTGTTTTTATATGCTTGCATATGTAAGTTCGAGTTTCAATGAACATACAAGAAAATACAAGAAAAACAACATAGCGAATCATAAATATTAGAAAGACGAAAGTTCAAGCTGAGTCTCTAAAATACAAGGAACAAAAATACATTAAGAACATACAAAATTTAAAGTCATTTAAAAGCTGAAAAAAAGTATATATATTAATCACAATGAAGTTTAACACGTATTGTGAAAGTATGTATAGTTCTTGTGAAATATTCGAACTTATAGGTTAGATTCATTTAAAATTATAAGAAAATATGATTAACGAGCTTGACTTTACTTAGTCGTGTTGTTCATCTGTTTTTTTTTTCCTTTTTAAAAAAACATATGTAGATAAATTTACTTGATTCTGATAAAGATGGTAAACTAAAACAGAAACTTTTAATTATAAAATTACTAATTATAGGGTAGGCATTAGAAGATCCGTCTCCAAAGTCACATAGGCTGATATACTTGTAACGTTAATTCGTGGTTAAGTAATAGGGATCACTCTTTCTGTATTAGTATTATATTTTGCCTACATATGTGTATTATAAACTTTTCATTTTTGAGTAATTAAAACCATATAACAAAAATATATAAGAACGGGGTATTACATAGATACTAGATTTAAATTCATCTAGTAACACGAATTAAATTGTGAATTATGGATTTAATTTCAAACAATGAAGACATTACAAAAGAGTGCATATATTTTAATAACGCATTATGGTCTTGTAACACGAATTAAATAATTGAACATAGTTTTTCGTTTTAAGTATTTAACTTTTATTTGTGAAAACAAAATATATTAGGTACTATATTAAATAATATTTATAATTTACTAAATGACAGATGCAATAAACATGTATTGTGATTTGGTATTTCAGTAGTCAGTACTATATAATATACAAGTATTCGACTTGTTTTCTGTTTAAACATCCAATACTATATATATATATATATATATATATATACTAAAGGCATCGAACTAATTTTTTTAATGATCGAACGGTAGTTCGATCTGTAAATAGAAACATTGAAAATTCTAAGATGCAGTGTATAAAAGCATCTTAGATTATGTGCAACATGTTCGACGATGCTAAACTTTCTTAAAAAGAAATAAAATGAAACATAAATATAAAATAGTAAATGTAACTCTTTAACCCAAAACGTTGGGGGTGGGAACTTAGCTTTATTCCTGGGGCTAACGTGTCTTTAAGCAAAGAATGCTTCGAACAGAGGGACAGCAAAACTCCAAATAAAGATATATAGAGAATAAATTAGGTAAAAACAAAAATCAATTCCATATTATTTTTTTTCATAATTTGAAAATTAGTGACTCAAAGAAGTGTTTATCACAACCAGCTCAACAAATAACTAATTATTCCAAAAAAACATTCGAAGTTCAATATACTCATCTCAAATTCTCAGAACTACTAGAATTTATGTTTTATTTTCCAAAATAATATATTTATAATAATATCACATATTTTAGGTTTACTAAAAGTTCCTAATTGTTTTTGAAAAACGGCCATACTTGATTTAAGAACTTTTAATAAACTTTTCCTAAACCTAAATTTGATGTTATATTTGAACAAAGATCCAACCAGTACTTTGGAATTAAAACTTGTTTTAATGATTTTTAGCTTATTCTAACTTAACAGCAGTAGTTCAAATGTTTTATAACAATAATTTATCTTCTAAAAGCCTCGCTTCCATTTTGCATAACAAGTCTCTATAATCTAATCTCTTATATATAGTGAAAATATCTACGACTGATCTACAAATTTTGAAACTAAATAGCATAAAACAAACGAGTATATTGTTTTAAGTTGTATTATAATTAAGATTTAATTCAGGTACAAGAAAAGTATAGTCAATGTCCCAAAAACACTTCCCATCTTGTCTTACATTATAATTGTCTTTCGATTTGTTTTACTAATAAAAATACAAACATGTTCTTCAGCTTTATGGCTTTTATTTATGTTTTTATGTTCCTTTTTATACATATTTTCACTTCATAGTCCCATAGATCATATTCTATTTTTGTAGATAATAGTATAGGTAAATGTCGCAATAATCATGTATGTTAATAAAATCAAAATCTAGATACCATTAAAACTATCACCAAAATCTTAAAATTTCCTATATATTTTGAGAAGCATTTTTAAAGATTAACTTTATTCTTATAAATAATTACAGTGATACTATTTTACTGATGTGTTATCACCGTAGAGTTTTTCAGAAAACTTTTGAAAAACATTTTTATTACTAGAATAATTACATCATGCACTCAACTAATTGTTTCGACAATAATTTATATCAGTTATATATAAATAATTTATCATTTAATTATAAATATATTTTTTCTTTCTAGTGTATACCAAAAATAACATCATATTAATTATTTTTTTATAATATGTTTCTTCTATTGCTTTAATTTAAGTTTATTTTGGTAAAAAAATAAATCATCACATCATTTATATAGTAAATATATATATATATATATATTAACTAATAGAATCTCTATAAACTAATATGTGTCATTAGCAATCAATAACGCTGCAATTAATATTATACAATAGAATCTCTATAAACTAATATTTAATAAATTAACAATCACTATAAATTAATAAATTTTGCCGGTCCCGAGTTGAGTTAGGAACAAATTAGTAAATTTTGATAAAATAAAAAGATATTAATTTTTTTAGAATTTCTATGTAAAAATATAGTCTTAATAATTACATAAATTAATAATTATACATTTAGGATTACATATATAATGTAATATAGATAAATATAATTCTATTATTGTTTTGAGTATATAAATGTTATTTGATTTGTCTTCCAAAATTCATTGCTATGACATTATTGAATGAATTTTACCTTGTTGGAAATATTTGTTTTTGTCTTTTGATGAACATTAAGAATTTGAACTGAAAAATATCTCTATAAATTAAATTTATTAATAACTTTATAAATTAATAAAATTTTAAAGTCTTAATATTATTAATTTATAGAGGGTTTACTCTATATATTGGTGGAATCGACCAAATATCTTTAGTTCATATAGTATTTTCAAAATTTTAAATAATCTATGTAGTTATTAGTATTGATTCATATATCATATATGAATCATCAGGAATTTGAAAGTTTATAGGGGAAGTCGCCATTTTTCCACACCACGTATCTTCTTAATCAGCAGTCGTTAATGCTATGAATAGCGTTATATGTAATTTTGGTAGAATCGACCATATTTCTTTAGTTCGTGTAGTATTTTTAAAAAAATAGATAGTTTATATAGTTATTAGCATTGGTTAATAGGTCATACATAAATCGTTAGGAACTTGTTAGTTTATAGGTTAATTGATCGTTTTCCGAGAGAAAAGTATATGAAAGTATATGATATAAGAAGCATATCTAGAGGAATGAGAGACTAAAAAAAAAGCATTTTGTATTATCTAATTGGTTTAATTTCTTTTATATTAAAATTTAATTATATTATTAAGTAATAATAATAAAATATTGATGAGTATTGTCTAATAGAGCTGCTCTAATGTCTATATCCCTCTCAAAATTTAGAAGATGATATTACCCACTAAAGTGATATTAAATAATCTTTCATTAATTTTTTTTTATGTCATCAGCTTTTTTTCTTAAAACAGTTTAGATATTTAAACTGAAAAAATTGAGTTTACATTATTTAAAAGTGATCTCAATATATTTTGAGCGTGTAGTATACACAAGATTGAGAAGAAAATGAATTTTTTCTAATTGTTCGCATATTTCTCCAATTATAATGCGAAAGCCAAACATTCATCTGGTTTAGACACCATCTTCATCTATTCAGAACCATTTGTAACAAAAATTATCGCTAATCTTTTTACATCATACATACAATACGTCTTCCATCAAATCTAACAATCGTGTTTTGGCATTAGCAATATTTTTGGTGGCTAGTTTTGCTAATTGTTTCTAATTAGAATGATCTTTATGCAATTATACTGTAGAAATGGTAAACTGGTTTTAAATTCATGGTTATCTATATAATTGTAACCAGTTTGAAAATTTGACAAAGAGGAAAAGTTCAGTTTCAAATCATGGGAAACGTACTTTCCTCATGTCTCCCCTTTTCGGCTTTTCCTTTCAACTATTAAAATAATTGTCTAATTTGAACTGAAATTTTCGAAAAACATGCTGTGAGACTATGGTAAGTTTGCTATAGAAAACCAACTACTCGCAATCCGCAGCATGGTCGATCGGAGATATGAGGAGGTGATTTAAGTTTGGTTTGCTATTTCAAGTTAAAATTTCAAATTTTTTTTTTCTTTCAAAACTAAAATAGAAAAGCATCTAACGTAAAAAAAAAAATTCTTTAAATTGATTTAATATATAATTCAAAAAAAGAAAAAAAAAAGATTATGGTAAGTTGGTAACTATAGAAAATTGAGCGAGTACAGGTATTGTGTGAGGAAGGAATGATCCAGAATGATTCATAATATGTAGTTATAGCAAATATTTCTCAATAATGTTAGACTAATTTGTATCTACAGTACCTAGTTTGATGACTTCTTCCAATCCTACATTATCATATCACTATTTCATTATAAATAGAAACTTTACCAGAAAATATGTTACTTTAAAATGTTTAATCGAAAGAGCAAAACGTTTGTTGAACATTTTATGAATGAAGTGAAGCTATTATGTAGTTGTCTCTGAATTGCTGTATCTGTATGCGAAAAACTGTCAAATTTCTCCTTTACATTACAAAATGAAAAAGTTCTTTCACCTACTTATTTGAAAAAGCGAGTAGTTATGGTATTTTTCTGCTATACAGTTTTTGTCAATAATTTTCTTACAATGTTATATATAGTCTGTTAATTATGAATATGAAATTTATTAAAGTTAAACAATTATTAAAATGAGTAATGAATAATATAAATCCCTAACTCCTAAGTTAGAAAAGGTGAAGGCATCATCAGGTGATTCCCGCTTCCAAAGAAAGATTACGTGAAATTCCAACCCCCAAGTTCTTTCCCTATTTCCCAGGTTTGCTTAATCTTTTTCTTTAATTTGTTATTCCCCCTCGGATTTTAGTTTCAATTTACTCTAGAGAAACCTACTTACAGTATTATTTTATTTTCTCGGCGGCAAAGAAAACACAATTATTACAAGTGAACTAGTTTGCTTATAAGTTATATAACTTATAACTATAAAATAGTTTCCGTACATATTTGAGCGTGTGTATCTTTAAAGAAAACAACAATTGAGAAGGTGTGTTCGGCAGCATTTCACCACCAATAACCAAATCCGACAAAGTTATTCCATTTGAAAATTACAACTTGAAAACTTTTTTCCTCCTCCAAAATTTGCAAGACAATAAAGCAAAACTCCTCAAAGGGCCTGGCCCATAATAAATTCCCGAATCTAATCTTTACTTTACATGCATTTCACAAGTAAACCAAACATTAACATCCGATTCTTCACCATATTTAATTTATTAGTTCAAGTTTTGGAATTTTCTTTTTTTTTAATTTATTCGACACTGTTTCGATAGTGTTCGAGTTTTCAAATATGTTCAGATTGTTAATCAGAGAATGAATCTGAAAAATTCGAATTAACACTGATTGAGTTCCGTTGCATCAGACCGACCGGACAAGACTCAAGCAATACTGTACGGTTATCTAACAATTCAAACCAGAACCAGAATTCCTCTAAACGACTCGGTTATCGTAACATAATAAAACCAGTACAAACCCTGAATTCTTCGGTTTAGAATGGATATCTCCTAAACTAAACCACATTAGACCAAACATAATCTGATTCAGTTCGGGGTATCGATCACATATCAGACACAGACCAGAGGTAAGCTTCTCTCTCCGTTGCTTTCTTCTCATTTGTTTTCTTAAACATTTGCCTCTCATATCCTGTGAACCAATCAATCACCCCAAAAGACATATCAGACAAAGAAAGCTTCTTATGGATTCTTTGTATGCGAGTATGACAAAACACATGATAAACCAGAAAAAAAAAACTTACCGGTACTGCGGTCAACTCCATCCCAGTGTCTACCGGGTTTGATACCATACCGATTTGATGCAGCTTCTAATCCTCTAGTTATCCAGCTGTGCTTCGGGACACTTTGTGGTATGACGAATCCAGATTCTTTCATCCTATCATCGTCCCCTAGATCCACAAGAGATGTCTCGTGCTGCTTTTTCTGCGATAAAAAAACCAGACATATGTTAGGATAATGCTTTTATTACAAAACGTCTTTGCTTACTGATGGGTCTGTAGTAAACAGAAGTAGTTTCAATACCTTGACCAAATGTGCCATTGGATCTCCCCATCTAACTCTTTCCTTCATCATTTGATCAAGCTCTGGATCATCCCTGAAATGTCACACGCGTAGAAAACGTTTGAATAACAACCAATTACATAATAGCTCAACCTCAAGCTCATGACGAAAAAAACCGATGTGATACCTGGTCCGAGCAAATGGTTTCTCCTTCTCTTCCTCAATTTCTTGTAGTCTAGCTTCTGCTTCACGCTTCTGAGCCAAACCTTTGCCCCATTCCAGTTTTATCTCCTACAAGAATTAGTCAATTACATTGGTAACTGTCTTTTTGTCTCAAAATATTCACAATTAATATTCAGGGGAGCATAGAGTTAAACCAGAAAACAGTACCTTTGGCTTTTCCACCACCTTTTTCTGCTTCGATTGTAGATATTCCTCTTTTGATATACGCTTCCCTGCAAGACCAATAAACAAGCATCTGAGAGTGAGTCATGTGGTTATGCATTCTCACTGCAAGTTATAATTGACTAAGGAGCCATCATCGTCACCTGTGATCTTGTCACGGAACACTGCTTCTGCATTCTGACCGGTTAGCTCAGAATCCATATTTTTAAACCTGCAAAAGAGTATATCTTGTCAAAAACGATAACAGCTTAGGTCTTGCAGTTGAGAATCTTGAATAATCGCTAGTGAAGATTGGTCTCTCTATTAAGTACCAACCTAAAGACAAAAAAAAACACAAAATCCTAACCAAAAGAGGAATGAAAAGGTGATCCTAGAAATTTAGGAAGAAGTAGGAAACATGAAACTCTAGGTGAATCAGAATCTACTCTTGTCCAACACTATTGGGAAAAAAACTGATACTATAACTAAACGTCTACAGTTTAGCCTGTTTTTTTAATTATTACCTCAATTGCTCATCCTCCTTCTTCTTTCGATATTCACTTCCAATGTCTTTCCCACTAATTAATCCGGTCTTTCGTTGCTCCTTGCTTGTTTGAGGAGGTGGTGATTCTCTGCGTGGTCTCCTTGGGGGAGAACTATCAAAATTCGAACTCCTGGACACATTTTCAGAAGAAGGTCGAGAATCCACGGTTTTTCTTTGAGGCGAAAGGTCTGAATCTCGAGAACCTCTCACATTCACATTCCTGCGGGGTGGAGATAAATCAGAATTCGAGCCAGAAAATTTTGAAGGCTTTCTACCCGGATCAGGTGATGGGGAATGATATCGTTTTCTCCTTGGAGGAGAAAGATCATCGCTCTCCCATTTAACATCTGAGACAGGCGAACCACGTGAATCTCTTTTCCTGCGAGGCGGAGATAAATCACCATCCAACTCAACGGAGTCTGAACGCTTTCTGCTTCTTTCAGATGGAGATTGAACATGTCTCCTCCGAGGAGGAGATAGATCTTCACGCCGGACTTTATCTTCAGGTTCTGGTGAAGGCGAGTCATTCCTTGCTTTTCTTTTGCGAGGTGGTGAGACATCAGAATCCAAACTAACAGGCTTGGCGTGTTTCCTGCTAGGTTCAGGTGAAGGCGTATGGTGACGTTTTCTCCGACGTGGTGGTGACATATCTGTTTCAACTCTGTCAGAAACCGAACGTCTAGGCCCAGGCTCAGGGGATGGCGAGTCATTGCGAGTCCTTTGTCTACGAGGAGGAGAAATATCAGATCTCGCGTCCTCACGGTCTTGAGGTAACGTCACCCACCCACTCCCATCCTCAGCAATGGCATTTTGAGCACGCCTTGCCTTAATTTCCTCCAACCTCCTCATTCTCTTAACTTCAATGTCCTCATCAACCACAGGCCTTTCCTCTAGACGAAACAAAAAGAAAAATGTCAGTGTCAACTGTTGTTAAATCAGATGAAATTTTACAGAACAAATACAGGAAACTAGAAACCGTAGTAAAGCCATTACCTGCTAAATCATCTTCATTTTCTTCCTCTACAGGATCAACCTGCTTTTGCCAAACTGGATCTTCATCCACAACTAAAACACCTCTTGGTTCGGGTTTGGATGGCTTCTTCTTCTTCCTTTTCTTGTCTATAGCTGCATCACTACTTTCATACTTTTTCAAGTAATCTTTCATAGAGTTTACTCCTGTTCTTGGAAGAGCCATCTTCAAGAATTTCGAACCTAACTAGCAAAAGGTAAACGTGGAAATACAGTTAAACATGACATCTAGCATACCAGGAACATAATGAAAAAAAATTGGAAACATAAAAAGATAGATCAAGATATATTCTTTTCAGAAACAATAGGCTCAAGCAGGGATTGAAAAGTCACAGGAATCGCAATGCCTTCACCATCTTCCAAAACCAAATCAAGTAGCTAGCAGAAACAAGTTCATGAATCTAAACCTTAGTTGCTACACTGGAATCAGCATCAATCAAGCCCTAAATATATCACTATCTTGCAAAAAAGCATGGGGACTAAATCGTGAATAACCAACAAAAATACTTAGTCTTATACCGTTATCAAATCTCCATATCCACAATTTGAGAAGCTAGAACCGTAGCATACATTCAGAAGCGGTTCCAGAAACCGAGAAAGAGACGCGACAACACATAAACACACAGAATCGTAAAACAACATACCTGATCGGGAAATTGACGCCGGAGATGACCGGATTAGAAGCCCAACGGAAGCTTGCTCAGGGAGATCTTCTAGGGTTTTCAATCGCAAAAATCCCCTGGAGAGTAGTGGAAGACGAAGGGGAGAAAACTGAGAACAATGGGCGAAATTGAAATTAAAGCAGTTAATAGGGATGTATATGTCATTCCGATATCACGAGCGATACAGGGGCATTTTCGTCAATTCAAAGTTTTTGTTTGCTGGGTTCGTCTTTAAAAACCGCCTCACCGACTGTAAACTAATCATCATCACTGGGAACAATTAGGGTTTTCCTTCCGTCATTCTCCTTCCTATAATCCGCCGCCACTTTCGTCATTCTCATCGCGTTAATGACGGTATCGTACAATTCATTAGCACAGTCCTTACAGGCGAGAAGCAGCTGCTTCAGCCCCAAAGCCTATTGCATCAGAGATACTAAGCAGAGAAGCAGATCCTTTGTCGTATTCGCTTCCAATGATAAGAGCATTGCTCTTCAGGCTAAGGTAAATAAATGAATCTCTCTTCTGTATTATCCCAACATATAGATGATGATCTGCAATTGAAAACGAGCAAAAAACTGAAATCTTTTCTGCTGTAACTTCGTTTTTTTCTTTTGGGTTTGAGCTTATGAATGATTATTCATTATTGAACCAGACATTGTCAGGTGCCTACTCCTTGACGCATGAGTAGTTACTGTTACATGTCGGGTAAAGAAAATAGAGAGAAGGAAAGTCTTTTTTGATGGTTTACATCATTAGGTTCTGGGTTTCTCTCTTAAGGTGCTCATCGTTTGCTTGGTCGTCTTCATTTTCATGATGGCTTGGGCTACATCTGTTCATCACATTTTATCTTGTGTACTCAGATTTAGAGTGGTTCTGCGTTTCATGTAATACCGGTCATAAACTTCTGCAATTGATTCTGGTGCTTACTTGATTTGATTACTACACTGAGCTATTTCTACTAAAGCATGTTGTTATTCGAAAAGTAACAAGTTAAAATGAATACCTCCTAACGTAGCTTATGTTTAGTCTATGTGAGAAAAATTTGCTATTACTTATGGTCTTGTGTTGCTGTTACTTGTTGTTGTTTGGTTATTTAGCCAGAGATGGTCAGCTTCCTACCCTTTGACTCTTGGGTTGGGACTGTTACATCTCTGGTAGAGAAAAGAGAGAGAAGGATAGGCTTTTTGATGGTTTCTATCTTTAAGGTCTGGATTTCTCTTTTAAGGTGTTCATCGTTTGCTTGGTCATCTTTGTTTTCGTGATGGCGTTAGCTACATCTGTTCATCACATTTTTATAGGATTTATTTTGTCTTGGTCTCTCGGATTTATAGTGATTCTTCATTCCCTGTTGAACCTTTCAATCAATTACTGCAATGGATTCTAGTGCTTAGCCTTATTTGATTATTAGAGGGAGCTAAATCTACCAAAATATTTTATCCACATTCTAATGAAGTTCAATGAATACCTTTTGCAGTACCTTATGTTCAGTTCAGAGAAAACTGAGGTCTGTGTGAGAACACTTTGTCATTAGAATTGGTCTTGTGTTGCTGTTACTGTTACTTGTAAGTATTTGGCTTTCATAGATCCTGTAGATTTAGTATTTTTCCAGAGATGGTCAGGTTCCTACCCTTTTGACCCATGGATTGGGACTGTTACATCTCTGGTAAAGAAAAGAGAGAGAAGTAAAGGCTTTTTGATGGCTTCCATCTTTAGGTTTGGAGATCTCTTTCAAGGTGCTCATCGTTTGCTTGGTCTTCTGCATTTTCGTGATGACTTAGCTACATCTGTTCATCACATTTGATATCGTCTTGGGCTCTCAGATTTAGATTATGCTACATTTCCTAACTAAACCTTTCAAATGGATTCCAATGCTTTGCCTAATTAGATTGCTACACTGAACTACTTTGATACTACAATTGTTAAACTTTTGTTACATCATGTTAGATTTGGCCAGAGATGGTCAGGTTCCTATCCTTTGACAAGTGGGTCTGAACTGTTACATCTCTGGTAAAGAAAACAGAGAGAAGGAAAGCCATTTTGATGGTTTCCATCTTATGGTCTGGAATTCTCTCTGAAGGTGTTCATCGTTTGCTTGGTCGTCTGATTCTGTGATGGCATGAGCTACATCTGTCCTCCACAATTCGTATAATATCCATATCCTGTCTGTTAATGCATTTTTCCTGTTTATACTACTAGAGTGGAGGGGCTTATTTGGTCGAAACTACAATGTTTCATTCAGTGTTGTTAGTGTTGCAACTGTGATCTTTTAATTTATATCTCAGTAAGCTTTGTTTATTCTCTGGTATTTATCATGCTTCCTGTTTGTTTTCTTGGGTTAGGTAGATAACTTGTTGGACCGCATAAAATGGGATGACAAAGGTTTAGCCGTGGCAATAGCACAGAACGTTGATACTGGAGCGGTTTTAATGCAAGGCTTTGCCAACAGAGAGGCTCTCTCCACGACCATCACTTCTCGGAAAGCTACATTCTTCAGTCGATCAAGATCAACCTTGTGGACTAAAGGAGAGACATCCAATAACTTCATCAACATCCACGATGTTTATATCGACTGCGATCGCGATTCGGTATGTTTAACTGAATCATGTTGATATTAGAATCTGACTACCTCCTCACGATAGAGTGTTATTATTCATTAACTTCATTGGTTTTGTGATTTATCAGATAATTTACCTCGGGACACCTGATGGGCCAACTTGTCACACAGGGGCAGAGACATGTTACTACACATCTGTTTTCGATCAGTTAAAGAATGACCAGGTTTGGTTTTGTGCAACTTTTTTTTACCTTTTCGTTCGACAAGAGATGAAATGAAACCTGAACAACTTTTCTGAAACGCGTTACAGGCTGCAGGAGAGAAGCTAGCAGAAACAACCTTGTATTCGCTGGAATCAATTATTTCCAAGCGGAAAGCGGAATCAACAGTTCCTCAAGAAGGTAAACCGTCATGGACTCGACGGCTCTTAACGGATGATGCTCTGCTTTGCTCAAAGATCAGGTATTTTTGGTTAGTTGTTTTCTGCAATTTATGGTTACTACGGATCATCGAGCTACGAAGCTAATTTTAGGTAATGGTGTTTTCAGGGAAGAAGCTGATGAGTTATGCAGAACACTGGAGGACAAGGAGGAAGTTTCAAGGACAGCGTCGGAGATGGCGGATGTGTTGTACCATTCGATGGTGCTACTGTCTAAAAGGGGTGTGAAGTTTGAAGATGTTCTTCAAGTTCTTAGGAAACGCTTCTCTCAATCTGGAATCGAGGAGAAGCAAAACCGTACAAAGTAACCGTTTTTAACTGTCAATTCTTGAACTCATATGAAGTTCCACTTTTTTGTTCATTATGAAACTTTGTACTGTGTAATTCGATATTCTCAATCTTAGTGATAAAAGAAATATGATTAAAATTCTTTTAAATCCGATATTCAGCTCTGTGTTGGGAAGAGAAGACATATTTTAAAAAGTTTTTGTTTTTGTTTAATCATCTGGAACTTGCATTAACTTAAAAATTCTTCTGAGCAATCAAAACAGGATATTATTTCAAGTTGCAATTGAAGTATTTATTTCAGAACAGAGACGTAAACGCATCATAGCACCAGAAGATACAAGTTATGTGCACAATATTTTACACTTTTTATATGATCATGTGGTGATTGTTAAACCATTATTGAATAAACGAGTCGCACAGTTTCTTCTGTTACACAATCTTGACCACTCACAAATTTCTTCTTCTTGCGATTACGAGTAATTATTTAACGCCTGCAATTCCATGAAACACACAATTCAAATAATTTGAAACACAAATAGTATTCTTCAATTTCAAATTCAAGCATTCAACTAAAATCATCACACGCCCTAAACCCTAAATTCCCAAAAAAAAGAACGACAACAATTTCCATGGAATCTCAAAGAGTTACATAAAAGGCGTGCGTACCATGAGGTAAAATCACTCAGTTGTAGTAGAGCTCGAGGCCCATGCCGTCGTGGATTTCGTAATCCTTGAGAGTGATGTGATCCTTGTAGATGTTGTACCACTTCTGGATCCGGATCTTCTCGGATCGGGTTCCGGTCTGCGCCGCCACGAGCTTCTTCAGATCTCCGATGGTGTCGTCCTCGTTGCACTTCACCCTCACCTTCTTCCCTAGCCGATCGTTTAGCACCACCTCGATCATCTTCCCTCTTCTAGATTCTCTCTCTCTCTCTCTTTATCTCCAATTAAATTCTCGAAAGAATGTTTATTATTCGAGATTTTCGGGTGACTTCGAATATATAAACAAAGCTAGGGTCGGTCTTGTGCTCTTTTGACCAACCAGAGTCTACCACGTGTATTCTGAGTCCTTTAAAGACGATTAAACAAAGACGTCAACGCGCCTTGTACAAGCTTTGGGCTAGTGATTCATGGGCCTACGAGCCCAAATATGGGTAATTCATGATATACAACAATTTTACATTCCCTAATTCATGATGATGAACCACAAATTATTTTTTGTCAAATTATAAAAAAAAAACTACGTAGACCAACTTAAATATATATCTAATATAATTAAAAAATATTGTATGAATCTACACCGGGAATACCCGAGAAAGTAGAACAGAACCAAAAATAAAAAAGAGAAGAACATGTTTGTTTATAGCTATAATCTTGGATTCAAAAGACAAAGTATCTTTTGTCTCTCTGTTAAAAGACATGAGAAAACACTATCATTACCATATATTCTTCGGTTTAACTTTGGTACAGTGTCCTCATCAAGAGGTTTGGTTAGAAGAAAACCAAAGCTTTTTCTGGCAAACCAGAATCTTCTCGCTCTCGACGGCATACTCTGTCTCTTCTCTCCGGCAACTCCACCTCATCCCCTTCGCCAACGTCGTGATTGCGTCCATGAAATAACTCGATTCTCGGATTATAACATATCCACTGGGTCGCAAGATCCGATCCATCTCGAGCAGAACGTACTTCATCTCACACCTGTTTCACATTACCCATACGGTTCACAAACACATCTCAAAACAAAGCTCAGATCTTTCAAAAACTTTTCTTGGTTTAAGATTGCGTACCTTTGGCTCTCAAGGGTAAAAAGGCTGTCAAGGTGAAGAAGATCATAAGTTCTTGGATACGTCGAGAAAGCTTCACACCTGCAATTTCAGTTTCACCAAGGTCAATATCAATCATACCAAATAATGAAAAACAGAGTGTTTCTTGAAAAGGTTTCTTTTTTTTTACCAGTCGTGATAGGTCCCGATGAGACCACGATCAAAGACAACAGGAAGCGTATTTGCGCTGTAAGACGAGACAACGTTCATGACCCAAACAGGATCCTTGACTAAAGCCGCAGCGAAACCTCCGTAAACCGTGTTCATATCCATAACGTTCCTTATCTTGTCCGTCCCAAGAACAGGCAAAACCTTCTTGTAATGCTTCACTCTGTTCTTCCACTTGCCGTCGTCGTGTTTCAAACCCGCCGCGCTACCTCCGTGAACATCGAAGATCCTCCCCGGCGCGACGTTAAGCCTCTCGGGCCATTTCGGGATAGACCCGAGACCCGATTTCTTGACTCTAGGGGTCGGGGCAACGACGCAGGGACGGAGAGGAGTGTACCAGGCGGAATCGGGCTCGATGCTGTCGTCGCATTTGGGAGGGTAAGCTTCCATGTTCTTTGCGATCTTGTCGTAGCAAGATTTGTCCGAGAGCTTCTGCCACACGGCTATGTCGTCCTTTTGTGCGTACTTCTTGAAACACATGGAGGTTAGTAGCGACTGAAGCTTGTCGTAGTCGGATTTTTGTTCTTCCATGGTCGTGTTCCATCCTCGCCACCGTCTGTTGTAGTTCACCGGTGGACCTGAGAGAACCCAGAAACCTCCGGGACGGACTATACGGTGAATCTCAAGCAAATAGATTCCACCTGCAAATAGATAAGACCATTACATTTTCATGATTTTCTCTACCCTCCAAATGAATAATACTCTTCTGTTAAAAACCATTTCCTAAAATGAAGTAAGAATGCTTTACCAAACTCTGTCCACGGAATAAGACATCTTGAGCAATGAGCCATATCAAAAGCATTCGAAGGGAAAGGGAGACGTTGAGTAGAGATGATCCCGAGAATCGCAGGGATTCCACGCTCAAGAGCGAACTGGACCTGAGCTTCATGGTTATCTCTTGGAGCAAGAGAGAGTGATAAGATCCCACGGTCCAAAAGATCTCCTCCCCAGCTCGCAACCTACAAAGAGAAAGAAAACCACGGAAGCTTCATAAGTTTTACATCCCGAAACTCCGGTTAAGAGAATCCGAGTAAGTCGAAGAAGAAGAGACTAACTCCGCATCCAGTATCAATGGCGGTCCTGACTGTTCCGTCTTTCATTTCAGGGATCAGATCTTGCATCTGATCAACGTAATGGCTAACTCCACGAGGAAACATCGTACCACCTCCAGGGAAATGGAACTTGTCGCCTTCTTTCTTGAGCCAATGCTGGTTTGATTTCTGCTTGTTGATCCAGTCATAAGGCACGTTCTTGTACCAGCACTGTTCTCTGCTCTTGGGCCATCTTATAGGCGGTTTATAGCCGTCTGGTGGCGGGATTAAACACTCGTTCTTTTCATAAACCGGAGGACAATGACGCTCCAAGAAACTTAGACGATGGACACCGTATCTCTTCCATCTCTGATAAACAAGAAAACACAAAACAAGTTCAAATTATATGCAACTAAAAGAGAGAATACAAAGTGAGACTGTGAGAGTGAGAAGTTTATAAACCTTTGGATCGGTGCACGGGGTGTAATCTTGGAACTCTGAACCACATTCCGGGAAAGAAACGGATTTGACTTGAAGAGGTGAGACCGTAGGTTCCTTAGGGGAAGCTACAACCTTTGTAGTGGTACTTGTGACATCTTTGGCTTCGATCTTGTCTCTCTCAGAGCAGAATATACCACCGAGGTAGAAGGAGAAACCGCACAATGCTATGAACAGAACCGTCAGTGACAAGATCCTAGAAGAACCCTTTTCGGGTTGCGAAGATTGCTTCCCGTTCTTCATAACCAAACCTCACCTGCAGATTCAGTGGAACGAAAGCATAGAATCAGATCATACAAAAGTTGCAATACACTCAGCAAAACAACTGAACAAAACGTTTCTTATTGCACAATTTTCACTATGAGATATTGAAACATGACTTTTTTTAATGGAATTCGAAGCTTAACTGAAGGATTAAACAGCTGGATCAGCAAGAAAGTGTGAATCTTTAATCAATAGCTAAGAAGGAGAGTTTAGATTTAGAACTAATGGATCGATGAGATCTGAAAATAGACACTTTTCAACATAGTGCAACTTCGGTCGCAATTTCACATTTTTTTTTCTTCTTTCTCAGACATGATATAAATGGGTCCCCAAAGCTAAAGGCATCCCACTAGGTCAAAAAAGTTGAAATTGGAAGACATCAGATGCAACTACTCATTTGTTTTAACGCTAGAAATAACTCTCAACATCTACAATTTAGGATTCAAACAACTCTAGATTAATACAAAAATCGAAACGTTGCAGCGAAATTTTGAATCTGAGAAATTTTGGGGGAAAAGGGTTAAATTCATCGAAAGATCAGATCTTTAAAGGTTTTAGTAGTGCCCATCAACAAAAACGAATCTCACTTGAACAATTATTAGAGCTCATTAGCGTTACAGACAATGGATCTGAAGAACAACGAGAGAAAAACAGAGGAATATGAACAGAACTATAAACTAACAAAGAACTGCGAATTTGAATTTACTTACTTATAAGAGTGTTTTTGTTTTCCCTCCGAGGAGAATAAGAGTTGAAACTTCTGAGAAAAATCTGGAGGTAGAGACTGGGATAAGAAGAGAAAGAGTCTTAAAATTAAGGGAGACGTTCTCTCCGCAGATCTCTCTCACTCACTTTCAAGTCTGTGTTTTTTCGGACAAGAAGTGAAGCTAACAGATAGAGAGAGAAATTTTATTTTTATAAATATCTCTTCTTCGTCGTCCCCATCTCCGCCTCTTTATCTCTCTCTCTCAGTAGAACCTTTTATTTAGTATTTTTTCCAAAAAAAATTTTCCGGCAGAGGTAAAAAGAGGACTTTCCTTTATTTATAATTTAGACAAATTGTTAAAATCTCTGTCACTTCCTCCTTTTTCTGTTTACACTTCTCCTTTCGGCTTTTCTTATGCCTAATAATAGGCTTTGGAAAAATACAATTTTAAAATACTCGAAACGCCTATGACAAATTTGGAATTTTTTAAAAAGTGCATTACGAAATTATATAATTACAGGAAATGGATTAGTGGAGTTGTGCTGGATTTTAAGATCATCTTATGTACTAACACCTTATGAGACTATATAGCACTATTATTTAGCCGACAGATTTTTGAATAGTCTTGTTCTAAAATGTACATTTTTGTTGCATATACTAGGATTCCAAAAGTTATCATCTTCTATAATTATCTAAAATTGCTTTGATAAATTTTGTAACAAAGTCTGCAAGATGTCTACTTCTCCCTACCCCGTATACTTCTACTTGAGATTCTAATATAGCAATGACAATAATAATAAATGATTAGCACTTAAGTGAGACTTCTTTGAAGTAGCCCATTCCTTCGTCATTGATGCTTGGAACCTCCACAAGTGGAAGTGTGGCTATGTGGGACCAAATGTTTATTTTTTTCTTACTTTTGTTATTGTTTTACTTTATTGTCCATTAAACATTGGTTTTTTGTTTATATAACTTTATTACTTTTCTCTAAAATTATGAATCACTGAATTACATTAGGGACATTGAGTAAAAGACAAGTGACATTGATAGGTTTTCACGCTATTGTAAAAAAAAAAAAAGGAATCAACTATCAAGTGAAGTAAAGTAATAATCTGAAAATTAATTATTATGATTTTCCATTTCATTCTCTCGGTGCTATTTAAAATTTACAGTAATAGCATTATGAAACAAATTATATACTAGTATATTTTTAATACTTGGGAAAGGTCAACAATATCAAACTCTAAAGTAAAAAAAAAAGAAAAAAGACGTGCATCAGTGCATGGGATGTGTATGATCTACCACTATAATTCAGAGCGACCCAGATTATTAATAATAACACGTACTCCAACTAAAAAGTATGATACTTTAGCGACACCGAAACGCATTTTCATGAACGATACAAACAAATTGTAGTCTTCAAATCAGTGCTTTATTTTTTATTTTTCGAGGCTTGCAAAATAAAAAAAAAAGAAAATGACTTGTCTTAAATGAATCAAAAACTTAAATAGAATTAAATAGTATGGTTAATAATTTCAGATGAGGAATAAAAGCTCACCGACAGAAGAATGAATTTGCCTTTATTCTTTGCTTTGGAGTTCGAAAACAAAACTTTTGGAATCTCTTCTCTTTCTCTCTCTTTAGAAAATATCTCGCCTAAAACTATTCATTTTACTGCTTCAAAATAATTATAAGTATTTGCAATAATAATCCTATACAAATAATCATAAGTCCTTGATTTTAGTGGAGTTGTCATAATTTTAGTGGAGTTGTCATGTGAATGTGATACTATGTTGAAACATGGGAAGTTAGTCCAAAGTTGATATCAAAATAATTACGTCGGAGACAATAATATATGGGTCTTGTCGCAAAAAGAATTTTTTTTGCAACTTTTCAATATGATTTACTATAAAAAATAAGCCAAAAAGTTTGATGTGGACATATATACACTCAAACATCTATAATGACCTATGTTCATGGATGAGTAATAGTCTAATACTAATGGTGATTGTATATCTTTTTTTTGGAAAAAATCAGTCTCTATCGGTTGAGTACAACCGGACCAAAAGATCTGGTACATGGATTATCAATCGCGACTGGTTCGGTTAAATAAACCGGGTAAAGAGTTCTGGTACGGTCGTTATCAATCAATTGCGGTAGTAACATGTCTATGTGCTTAAAGTTTCAAACTTTCCCACGTGAGTGTGTTAGGATTTTCACCATTTTGACTTTGTACATAGATTAGTAGTTAGTTACTGACCAAACTCTTTTAAGTTTGACTAAAAGCGAATCTTCTACTTCGACTTCACATGGATTGATTCCTCTGTAAACCAGATACATATGTCTTTACAGAGCTTACCACTCTGATGCATCCCGTGACTGGTTTGTTTTGAGCAGAGAGACAAGAAACATGACCTTTAATGATTGACCATAAGAAAAACTCCTGCAAAACACATTCCAAATGATGTTTAAGACAAGTGATGATGTTTCTGCAAGAATTTAAAGAATCTGGAATAATGGAGCAAGAATCCCGATATGATCAAAGCAATGATTTTCGTGAATAGATATGTTTTGGAACAAGAACAAAAACAATTTTGCTACTAACAGATTCACCTGAGTTTGTTTCACCTATAGACTATGTCGCTAAACTGTAAAACAGGTATCCATTTCAAGCAAGGTCACTGCACAGATTAATTGAAAAGGAAAATTGCAGAGTAAACCATCATTATGTTTGGAGTTTACCTAAGATTCGGAGATAGTAGAGCTTCGATCTTTCTTCTTCACCTGTCTTCAAATGCCAATAAGAGCCATCACCATCTTGAGCAATCCAGAACATATATTTTCCAACAAGACGTTCATCAAGTGTTTCGTTATGTTCCTTTATATCTTGATTTGAACAATCTGTGACAAGCAAATTTTAAGCAAATTTGTCAGATTTATTTCTTGTAACCATTTTACCTGGAATATATGGTAAGGAATGAAGCACACTCACTCCCTAATCAGGCATCGTCTTGTTGCGTACCGAGACGCCTTTGCTCATCAACCATTTAAACGGATTATATTCCGAAAGAGCCCGTCGCAGCAAATCATCTGGTTCGACTCCGTTTCTCAACATGTGTTCATACAACAATGCAGCTTCAACGAGTCTTCCAACTTTGCAGCAACCACGGATGAGAATAGCGTAGGCAACAACATCAGGGATTAACTTCGCATCCATGGCTTGATGGAAGATATTTCTTGCTTCATCCACTCTTCCTCGTTTGCAGAGACCGTCGATTATGATGCTATAGCTTATTATGCTTGGAGAAATACCGTTCTCTTGCATATCCTCGAAAAGCTTGAAAGAACCTTCAAGATCGACGGATTTCGAAAACGAATCCATTAGACAACCGTATGTGACGACATTCGGTTTAGGTCCCTTTTCCACCATTGTGGAGAACATCCTTAGAGCATTATCCACATCATTGTTGTTACAGAGCGCATTGATAAGTATAGTCAAAGTAACGGAATTGGGTCCAAAAGGTGTACATTTCAGCATCTCGAAAATCCTCATTGCTTCATCTAACATTCTAAGAGAGCAGTAGCCACATATCATTGTGTTATATGTCACAATATCAGGCTCCATCTTTCCTTTGAGAAGATTCTGAAAGAACTTACAAGCTTCCTCCACGCGGTGACCTTTGAAATGCAAATTAATGACGACATTACATACCGCGATATCCACAGAGATTCTATTCCTCTGCATAAGCTCAAAGAGCTGAAGCCCAATGGTTGGCTTCATACGTTTGCAGAACGCATCCATCAATGTACAGAATGCTACAGCATCAGGTTCCAAACCCATTTTGAACATCCGGAAGAAAATAAATAATGCTTGTTCTAATCTTCCTTCCATGACACTCACCTTCATAAGCGTGCTGAATGTGGCTACATCAGGTTTTATACCATAAAACCCCATTAATCTAAACACCTTCAAGACCTCGTCACAACGGTTTAACCTACACCACCCATCTATCAAGGAATTGAAAACCACAACATTGGCCCGGACCGATTGGTATAGAGTCTTGACAGTGAATCTCAAAGCATGCAGCATTAGCCCTTGCTTGCAAAGTCCATCGACAAGCACACCATAGACGACAACATCAGGTCGATGTCCCATCTTTATCATATCCTCGTACAAAGCAAACCCGGATCTCAAATCCCCACACTTGCAATAACCATCAATGAGACTGCTATAAGTTTCAACGGATGGCTCCAGACCACGTTTCAAGATCTGACCATATATACCAAAAGCCTCGCAGATTCTACCTTCTCGACGCAAGCCATTAACAAGAATGGTGTAGGTAAACACATTAGGTGAAATCCCTTGACACAGCATTCTCTTGTACACATCAGACGCTGTTGCTAAATCCCCGGATTTGACATACGCATCAATCCTTGAGCTGCAAACAACCACGTCCAGCTTCACGCCTTTACGTAATGCCTGCGAGAAAAGTTTATGACCCATTCCTAACATCCCTGCTTTGAAGTATCCATCAATCAGAGTGCTGTAAGCGATCAAATCCGGCTCTATCCCTTTCTGTTCCATAACTCTGAAAAGCTCGAACGCTCTATCCATTTCGCCTCTTTTGCAGAAGCCGTTGATCAACGTGCCAAATGTCACCACATTTGGTGCCGGACCACATTCCAACATCAAGCTTAACATACGAGAAGCTACCTCTATCTTATCAACCAAAAGACCTTTCAGAATCTTATTGCAAGAAACTATATCGACATGAAAACCTCTCTCAATAACTAGTCGGTGAAAATCTAAAGCCTTTGTGACTTCTCCTTTGCGGAAAAGAGCACCCAACACAAACCCATGAGCACTCACACGAGAAGGGGCGATTCCTCCACATAGTTTGTCAAAATTATCGGTTATTAAGTCAACACGAGCAGCATCAATCAAAGAATTTAGCATCTTATATACAGAATCCTCCCTTATAACGACACCCGATTCAGTACTATACACAAATATCTTCATAGCCTCATCAACCATGCCGTATCTACAACAACAATTCATCAAAAACCCAGAAACGACACCGTAGCGCAAAGGAAATTCCATTGGCATATCCTTCATCGAACCCAGAATATGGAAATCCTTTCCACGATTAGAAATCAATTCATCAAACACCTTATCTGCAACATCAAACATCCCATGGCGGATCAAACCATGAGCAAGTGTAAGGAAAGAAGGAGCCTTGCCAGACATCTCCGCCCATCGGAAATACTTAACCGCAGAAAAGGGATCTGATTGAAGCGAAAGAAGGACCCAATTCGTCTCGTTTCGTTGCGAATTTGCGGCTTGGTCAGAATCTGATAAGTTAAAGTTTCCTTCTTTGATTGCTTTAGAGATACCGGAGGTTAGGGCTTTAGCGGATTCAGACGAAAACCCACGAGGTTGCAGAGTGTTAAGCTTCGGGAACACTGAGAAAATCGGCGGGAAACACTTGCGTATTTGTAAAGACGATGAAGCAAACAGAACCATCTTTCAAAGGGTTCCCATTGCCGCGGAAACAGAGTCAAAGTTGTTTCTCCCAGCCCGGATTGACTCCATTGACCCGTCTTAACCCGAAAATATTTGGGCTTTAGTAAATCGGCCCATTATACTTATTTTTTTTTAATGGAAACTACTTCTTCCATCACTAAGAACCCTAATTTTCTTAATAACGTAAATAGTCGCCGTTAAGGACCCGGTTGACCTCAACCCGACCCGAGTAAGTAAATACTATGGGCTTAAATTTGTTTTGGCCCAATAGAGTGATGAGATACGTTGCTTTATTTAACGGAACCGAATCACATCTCTCAAAACCTAATTCTTTACTCTTGTATCCACCGCCGTTCTAGTTGAATCTCCGGCTGTGTGTTCAGCAACGGAGTTTCTTATTCATTAGTTCCCTCGTTATTATATTGCTATTGAATCTTCTTTTTTTGTGTGAAAAATCTATGCTTTCATCCGATTCGGTTTAATCGCAAATGCCAGATTTAGCGACGAAGAAGCTATTTTGGATTGATTTCTTATGTGGGTTTTGCTTTGATTAACCACGTATCTTAAATCTGTAGCAAAGTTTGATGCTTTTTTTTTTGGTTTGTGGTTTGTTTTGAGATTGATCAGTTTTGCACTCTGCTTTTCGAAGGCTATGTCAAAACAGTGACATAGTCTTATAGCAGCAGTGCATAAAGAGAAAGTTGTTAAATCAGCAAGCGGCCAGACAACCGTTGGGATAGATCCACAGGTGAAGCAGATTCTTCTCTGCTCTCAGCTACTAAATCTATCTTACAGATTCATGTGAATGATTCTCATTTCCTTTCGCGTTTGTTTATGCATTGTGTGAGTTTTTTAATTGTTGGTGTGGTATTGAGTTTTGATTGCACCTTGTATCGAAGGTCATGCCTCGTTCTGGTGGCATGGCCGTTTTCGAGGATGCAGAAAGAAAAGCTGTTAAATCAGCAAGCGGCCAGACAACCGTCGGGATAGATCCACAGGTGTTGCAGATTCTATCTGCTTACAGCTACTAAATCTATCCCACAATTTGGTTTTTAATCAATCCAGTTTTCATCAATGCAAACGTATTTACCCAGGCGTGACTTTTGTTCTCTGTGATGCGAGAGTTGACTTGGTTTGTATGTACATAATGGTTTTAGAAATGCTCTAGCTGGATTTACAATCTTTAGTCCTAATTATCTGGTGTTTGCAAGTTATTACATGGGTTTTTAACTTGGTGCTGCTGATTCTTGAGCAAGAAATCTGATTGGGAGCAGGTGTTGATTCTTCTTCAGCAGTCGGAATCATTTTGGACTAATCGCTTGAACAAACTTTTGAAATGGGAAGCTAGTGTTTCGGAGCTTGAGCTATTTGAAAACATGAACATTTGTTTAATTGAATACAATCTTGTCCAAGTAACATGTCCAACTGTTACGAGAACAGAATTAACCTTAATCGTCATTAAGTATTAATCAGTGTGTATCATTACTCTTAGTCAGAGAAAAGTGTTGAGAAAATCTAGCAGCTACCTTAAACGTGTATCAAGTATTAATCAGTGTGTATTATTACAAATAGTCTGAGAGAAGTGGCTAGTGTCATGTTCGTTGGTGTTGTGAAAATCTAGCATCTACTTTTGGAATAATGTGGAAGAAAGGGTTACTTAATGACAGAAAATAAAAGGGTCTTTTTTTTGGGTAAAAAAAAGGGTATTTTTTGGTTACGATGATACTATAACGGATTATTCAGAAATCTTTATAAGGTCAACACAGCTGGAATTTTATAGTAATATTTGTTGAAAGGAAGTGAAGTCTTGCTGGCGTTGGCACTCGCATAGTTGCACAACGTCATGCTCAGGTCGCCATAAAGAGGTTCCTATAAGATTACTTCAGCTCTAGCAATTGAAGGATTCATGGTCAGCAAGAAATATTCGAAAAGGGGATTGTGCTTATGTTATTGGAGCAATAATGTCAATATACTAGTACATCCTTTATTCAAATTATTAGAAAGGCTATATGAATTTACTATAAGTTACTAGTATTTTCCATTGATCCAAAATCTGTTTACCAAGAAGCCTATTTATTTAATAGGATCCTTAGCTAAGGCTAAACGAAAAGTAAATATTTGAATTGTTCTGTCTCTATTGTTGTCAGTAAGAAATTGCCAAATCATATTGCATTGACAAGTTGACATGCTACATTTGCTACACAACATAAGCATGGTTCAAAGTTTTGTTTTTTTATAAGAAACTAATTTAAATGGGGACAAGAAGGGCCCATCATCATGGGCCAAAGTTCAAACCACTTACTGGGTACCTTATTCAATTTGCTCTTTCAACACATTAATAATATGTTATCCTTGATCAACTTTTGCCTGGCTTTCAATTTACTTTTGCATTGGTAATTCTTTTACAAAATTTGTATATTAAAAATCGTAATAGCTTTAGCTTTATATTTTTGTTGTAGAAATATGGTTATAATTTTTTTTCTTTGTGTAGCCATATATTTTATTTTTTAAAAAAACTTTAGCTGTAAAGCTATCAATTTTGTTTTTAATAGTCTGAATGCAAATTATGAAAACAATTACAAGGATAATATTTAACAGATAAATTAACTATTTCACAAAAATCCACCATAGATATGTGGATCCACCATGAATACCTCCAACTATTTGTCCTTTCCTTATTTGAATATCTCTATTAACCTGTAGAAATTGCATTTTCTGGGAATCGAAACCCAGACTTCCTGATGTATAAGCATTAATAAACTTTTAGTCGATCACTGGACAAAGATCTTCCACATAATTGTTAAATTTAGAAAACATAAAATTATATATTCTCGAAAAAAATGTTTTGTACAAGAAAAATAAATAAAAAAGAAAATATTTTAATTGTGAATAAATAAAGAAAAGAATAAAGTTTATAAAGCATGATTATATAATTTAGAGCTATAAATATAATGTGGAAGTTCTCTTACCTCAATAGTTTCCTTAGCTTGGTTTAATAAGAGTATATTAATGCTTCTACATTAAGAGGTCTGAGTTTCAAATTTCAGATAGCATGATTTATTCTTAATTATGCACAGATTAACGAAAGAATGATAGCAAATTAATGGAGGCAAGCTTACAAGAGATCTTCAGCGTAGTGCAAGCTGAATCGTCAGGTCCAGATCTTATATAATAATGATAAACGTGGTGCATGATGCATGTAGAGCCGTTAGTCGTGGATCTTCATAAAACGGTAGAATTAATTTGCAATAATTTGTAGAGTAGTAGATGTAACAGTTCTCATAATTTGCAATTGAATAAGAAATGAGTGTTAAAAAAAAAGAGCTATGAACATAAATATTACTAAGCATGTTGTATAGCTTAAGAATACATCATTTTATAGATTTTGTCCGATCGGTTTACCCCAATAATAATTAAAACAAAATCATGTTTAAGACCTAATAATGTTTTGTACATTATATAGTCTGAAGTTGAGTTATTAAGTTTTGAACCATATACATATATGGTTGTTGATTCCATTAAAATTAAAATTAGGAAAACCAACCAAAAAGCATTAGTGAAGAGCTAAATCCCAAAAAAATTAGCAATTAAAGAGCTGAAGTGACTATATGAATCTGGGTTCCTTCATCAGTTAACACTTAACAGCACATGCGTAAAATTTTGAGATCTGGATCCGTCCTTTTGATCTCGCACATTTGTCATCTCCAATTGTAATTAAACTTTTCACAGATACAACCATCTTTAATAATAAAGCCACTCGATGACACGAGGAAACTCTCTTCTTTTCCCCAATATATATAAATAATTTTATTTCATTCTTTTGAATCTGGGCTTATTCGAAAAAGAGGTTTTGTTTTGTTTTCTTCTTCAATCACCATCGCTCGTGAATCGTTCCAGAGCTTCACTAGGAGCTTCAAACAGAAGACGGAGATCTCGAGACGATCCTTGATTCTCTCACGGTTCGTCCTTCTTCATCTCTATCTAAATGTTTTAGACTTTCGTAATCATTCATCATCTCTGTTTTGAATGATCCAGCTCCGAGATCGTTTATTTCCCTGATTTTTTAAAGCTCTTTGTGGATTTAGTTCATGCATACTGAAGATAACCCATCTGAGAAAGAAACGAAAAAAACTCTCCTTTTCTTTTTTACTTTCCCAATTATCACCTTTCTCAATTAAGGCGAACCCTAAATTGAAAATTCCGCTAGCAAATTTGAGTAATTCTATAAGGGTTGTTGCAGATATCAAAAACCCTTCGATTGTGGAGAGTTCTAATTCGTTTAAAAAAAATCTGGATGACGTTATGCAGAAGCGGAGAATCATCACCGTGAATCCATCGGCGTCTATTGAGATGAGACAACACAGCAACAACAATGGTGTTCCTTACTCAAACGTCTCCGGCGACGACGAGACTCCATCGCCTAAAGCCACCGACAAGATCCGGAAAGTCTCGATGTTGCCGCTCGTTTTCCTCATATTCTACGAAGTCTCAGGAGGTCCTTTTGGTGTCGAGGACAGTGTGAATGCAGCTGGACCATTGCTAGCTCTCTTAGGGTTTGTGATCTTCCCTTTCATCTGGAGTATCCCCGAGGCACTGATCACTGCAGAGATGGGCACAATGTTCCCAGAGAATGGCGGATACGTCGTGTGGGTCTCCTCTGCTTTGGGACCGTTCTGGGGGTTTCAGCAAGGTTGGATGAAATGGCTTAGTGGCGTTATCGACAACGCGTTGTATCCTGTTCTGTTTCTTGATTATTTGAAATCCGGTGTCCCGGCTTTAGCTAGCGGTTTGCCGAGAGTTGCAGCGATCTTGGTGCTGACGCTTATGCTGACGTATCTGAACTACAGGGGACTGACTATAGTTGGTTGGGCTGCTGTGCTTATGGGTGTTTTCTCCATCCTTCCTTTCGCTGTGATGGGTTTGATCTCGATTCCTCAGATAGAGCCTTCGAGGTGGCTTGTGATGGATTTAGGGAATGTGAACTGGAACTTGTATCTCAACACTCTTTTCTGGAACTTGAACTATTGGGACTCCATCAGTACTCTAGCCGGTGAAGTGGAAAACCCGAACCAGACGCTTCCAAAGGCTTTGTACTACGGCGTGATCTTAGTCGCGCTTTCTTACATCTTCCCTCTTTTGACTGGAACCGGAGCAATCCCGTTAGAGCGTGAGTTATGGACAGATGGGTACTTCTCTGATGTGGCTAAAGCTTTAGGTGGAGCGTGGTTGAGATGGTGGGTTCAAGCGGCTGCAGCTACGTCTAACATGGGAATGTTCTTAGCTGAGATGAGCAGTGATTCGTTTCAGCTTCTCGGAATGGCTGAGCGTGGAATGATTCCCGAGTTCTTTGCCAAAAGGTCTCGTTACGGGACGCCTTTACTAGGGATTCTGTTTTCGGCTTCAGGTGTTGTGCTCTTGTCTTGGCTAAGCTTTCAAGAGATTGTAGCTGCAGAGAACTTGCTCTACTGTGTTGGTATGATCTTGGAGTTTATAGCTTTTGTTAGGATGAGGATGAAGCACCCGGCGGCATCGAGACCGTACAAGATACCTATTGGAACCGTTGGTTCGGTCCTCATGTGTGTTCCTCCAACTATACTGATCTGTGCTGTTGTGGCACTCTCGTCTCTTAAAGTGGCTTTAGTGAGCTTCGTGATGATGATCATTGGTTTCTTGATGCATCCTTGTTTAAACCATATGGATCGAAAGAGATGGCTCAAATTCTCCATCAGCTCTGACTTACCGGATCTTCAGCAAGAGACTCGGGAATACGAAGAGACTCTGATACGATAGGAGTGTTCTTAGTTCTTTGTCCCATCTTATGTTTTTAAGTACAGAGCTTGGAAGCCATAGCCCAAAAAGCTTGAATTTTCATGGTATGTTCTGTTTATTCACACATCTTGTTCTGAAAGTCGTAAAGTTAGGTCATCGTTAGCTTCTTTTAAAACACGGGTTTCTAATAAAATGTGCAATGTTTTGTATCTTTTCTTTCTATCGTTGCCATTGTCGATGCTTTGGGATGAACTTTCGAAATCCTTCTCCTCTAAAAGTTGAAACTTTAACAGCTTTTTAACCCAAAAAAAAAAACAAAATCCAAAGAGGAAAAAAACAAATAAAGTTTTCAACGCTAATGATTGGAAAGAGAGAAAAACACAATATAGCACAAGTAAAATTCAAATCCAATATCAATGTTTGACCATTTCTTTGCCTGAAAGCAGAGTAACGAGTCTCTCAGTCAATTCGGAAGTTCCATCACCACCGTCTCAGTCGCTTCTCGCTTCATCTTTCTCAACGATTCGTCCTTCATTTCCATTATTAATTTATTAATATTTAGGGATATGATATGGACAATCTCAAAACAGGAGAACCACAATTTTTTCAATTCTGTAAAGATATGAGATTTATGAGGGGTATGGGTCTGTTTTGTTTTCTTCTTAAATCATCGCCCAGTCTTTGCAGATCTCGTAACACTGGATTCTCTCACGGTTAGTACTTCTTCACTTCTCGTGTAAAAGGTTTAAACTTTCGTATCAAGGATTCAAGAATTTGTTCTAAGCTCTTTTATCGTTTTTTTTGTTAAGGGAAGGGTCATCACAATGAGAGACTATAACAACAATGACCATCATTATGATGATGTTCCATCGCCAAAAGCAGCAACCAGTTCTGTCCAGAAAGTTTCCATGATACCACTCGTTTTCCTCATATTCTACGAAGTCTCTGGAGGTCCATTTGGTGCAGAAGGAAGTGTGAATGCAGCAGGACCGCTCTTAGCTCTTTTAGGGTTCTTAATCTTCCCTTTCATCTGGTGTATCCCAGAGGCACTAATCACTGCAGAGATGAGCACAATGTTCCCAATAAACGGCGGTTTTGTGGTTTGGGTCTCCTCTGCTTTAGGACCCTTTTGGGGGTTTCAGGTTGGTTGGATGAAATGGCTTTGCGGGGTCATCGACAACGCTCTGTATCCCGTTCTCTTCCTCGATTATTTAAAATCTGCAATCCCGGTTCTATCCACCGGTTTGCCGAGAGTTGCATCGATCTTGTTCTTGACTCTATTGCTCACTTACTTAAACTACAGAGGACTCACCATTGTTGGTTGGACCGCTGTGTTTATGGGAGTCTTTTCGATGCTTCCTTTCGCGGTAATGACTCTGGTTTCGATCCCAAAGCTCGAGCCTTCGAGGTGGTTTGTGATGGATTTAGAGAATGTGAACTGGAACTTGTATCTAAACACTCTCTTCTGGAACTTGAACTACTGGGATTCGGTTAGTACACTAACCGGTGAAGTTGCAAACCCGGGCCAAACGCTTCCAAAGGCTTTGTGTTACGGTGTGATCTTTGTAGCTCTTTCGAACTTCCTCCCTCTTTTGGCCGGAACCGGAGCTATACCGTTGAACCGGGAGCTATGGACTGATGGTTATTTAGCTGATGTGGCGCGGATCATAGGTGGAGGATGGTTGAGATTGTGGGTTCAAGTGGCTGCAGCTACATCAAACATGGGAATGTTTATCGCCGAGATGAGTAGTGATTCTTTTCAGCTTCTTGGAATGGCTGAGCTCGGTATGCTTCCCGAGGTTTTCGCCGAACGGTCTCGTTACGGGACGCCTTTGTTAGCGATTGTGTTCTCTGCGTCAGGTGTTTTGCTCTTGTCTGGATTAAGCTTTCAGGAGATTGTAGCTGCAGAGAATCTGCTTTACTGTGGTGGGATGATTCTTGAGTTTATAGCGTTTGTTGTGATGAGGATGAAGTATCCGGCTGCTTCGAGACCGTATAAGATACCTGTTGGAAACATTGGTTCGGTTCTGGTCTGTGTTCCTCCCATTGTATTGATCTGTTTCGTTGTTGTGCTGTCGACTCTTAAAGTGGCTGCAGTGAGCTTTGTGATGGTTATCATTGGTTTCTTGATGAGACCTTTTCTGAACTATATGGATCGAAAGAGATTGCTCAAATTCTCAGTTAGTTCTGATCTTCCGGAGTTTGAAGAATCTTTGATATGTTAAAAGGAGTTTCTGAAGCTTGGAATCTTTAAACAAATCAATCTGTATTGATTCTTCTCTGTTTGTTTTGTACAATTTCTTGTTTTGTTTTCTTTTGGAAATTCTGCTCTGAATAATTCAATGTGTTTTGTCCATTAGAGTTTCATAATTTAGTAAGATTTTGTCTTCCTCTTACTTCAGTGTACTTTCCTTTTTGGCTATTTGTTCTGCTGCCTCACTTCAGAGAAACCGTGTGCATCAAGATGCATCCAAACTCAAATGGGAGAATCACCATTTTCCTTTTTCCATTGTGATTTATGGGTACGGAATGTCTCTCCGTAATACTGTAAGGCCTAATTAATTTTTGTGTGCTCAATGGGCCGGAAGTACATTAACGAGTCCAGTATGAGTTGAGGCCCAAAAGAACATCTCCATCGCTACCAAACCGCTTCACTCAGAGACGCACAGTGAGATTCGTGGAGGAGAGATAGTACGCGTGAGAATGGAGAGTGACAAAAGATGGACCCTCGCCGGTAAAACCGCTGTAGTAACCGGCGGGACTCGTGGAATCGGGTTTGGCTCTCCTCTCCTTTCAATTAGATTCCATATTCTCGCGATAAACAAAAACTCTTTTGCCTTCATTTTTTTCTTCCCGCCACCGTCATGTTTTTTTTCGGTTCGGACCTCTTGAGTTCTGCAACGAATTTTTCATTTTGTTGCATGATCTGGTTTATCCTGTAATTTTTTTTGTAAAAAGTTTTTTTTTTTTCTTTCTCTTTTCAGGAGAGCAATCGTAGAGGAACTAGCAAGATTCGGTGCAGTAGTTCATACTTGTTCAAGGAACCAGGAAGAGCTAAAATCATGCTTGGACGAATGGAAAGCCAATGGTTTAGAGGTATCTGGTTCGGTTTGCGATGCTTCGGTTAAGGATCAGAGGGAGAAGTTGATTCAGGAAGTGTCGGCTGCCTTCAGCGGGAAGCTCAACATCCTTGTAAGTTCCCTTGTTAAAAGCTGACTCTTTTGTTTTCTCTGCATTAATGATCTTGAAACCGTGTATTACATTAGCTCAGCCATCCTTATGAGTTTCTTATCCGGCTGAACAATCTTTTGAACCAATCTATTTGGTTGGTCTTAGCCTTTGAAATGGTGGATGAGACTTGAGTCATTGGTACATTAGCTTTGTGACGTTTCAGTACATGTAATGTAAGGCTTATGGTTATTTGGTTGAACCACATTAGCTTTGTGTTAGGGGTTTGAATCCATTCTTGGCCCTTGTGAAAATATATAACAATTTGTTTTGCCTTCTTCAGATAAACAATGTTGGAACTAATACAAGGAAACCAACAGTGGAGTATTCGAGTGAGGAATATGCAAAAATCATGTCGACAAACTTAGAATCTGCTTTCCACATATCCCAAATTGCACATCCTCTCCTGAAAGCATCTGGGGTCGGAAGCATTGTGTTCATCTCCTCTGTAGCTGGCCTTGTGCATCTTAGCAGCGGATCTATCTATGGTGCAACTAAAGGTGAGTCAGTTGTTTTTGATGTTTTTAAGACAAACTAAAAAAAAAAAACAAAGGAGTGTTAAAAAAACTACGGTTGTTGTCTCAGGAGCACTTAATCAGCTTACAAGGAATCTAGCTTGCGAGTGGGCAGGCGACAACATCAGGACCAATTGCGTGGCGCCGTGGTACATCAAGACCTCACTTGTGGAACCGGTATCTTTTACCTATACCTTAATGTAATTGCATATTGAACATTGCTTCACTTAGGTTTGATGAATGTATATATCATATTGGTTATGATGTTCTTGTGGCAGCTACTTGAGAAGAAAGATTTTATGGAGGCGGTAGTTTCGCGGACCCCACTCGGGCGTGTTGGAGAGCCAGAGGAAGTCGCGTCGCTGGTTGCTTTTCTCTGCCTTCCCGCAGCCTCTTACATCACCGGACAGGTCATTTCTGTCGACGGAGGATTCACCGTCAACGGTTTCAACTACGTTATGTAGCCAAAATCTCTCGACGGCAAACTTTACTAATAAAGCACGAGTCCGTTCCTGAGGTTTTTTCCCGTTGTCTCTGTCTTTAAACCTGTACTGATATTCTCACATTTGTATTTTCAAACTCGCCACTAAATAAATCAAGGCACTGTTATGCACCAGCAACTAATATAGTTTTTAATTTTAGAGAAATTCGGTTCATACCTGAAAAGTCAAATATCTTTGAACAATCCATTATATGGTCCACAGAGAGTGATTTATACAATGCTATTAGAGTTGTGTGATCAAGGGAAAACGTGACAACAATTAAAGATCATGGCATGGGATAACAATCCTATTGAGTGTATGTAATGGGCTAGTGGCTTAGATAGACCCATTTATTTAAAAAAGCCCAATAAGTATAACTGAGCTCATTTGCAGCAGATCTGTCTGAGGGGATCGAGACGACGAAACGGTTTCGTTGATGTTTGTGAAAAAAACCCTAAACCCCTCAAAATTCGCGAGGAGAAGAAAATGAATGGTCTTTCTCGTCATCTTCGAGCTTCTTCACTTCCTTCGTTGATTCGCGGCTATGGTGGAATCAAGTCTATCTGTCGATTTTCGTCTCAATCAGATGGCTTCTCTGGTTCGTCATTTCCCATCTTTTACTCTCTTGCGATGCGAGCAAGCTGAAATCTGCTTTGCTTTGTCTTTCTGGTTCAGTTTTTGAGTAATGAATCAGAATGATGGTTGGATCTGGAACAAGCTTCCTGGGTTTTATCTGATTAAATGCAATTTTCGCATTCGAAATTTTGAGTTTTTGTCACTGTCATGCTCTGATTCTGTTTGGTATGAAAAAAAAATGCGTAATTTTGTGATTAGGGATTTGTTCGATTCGCCTTATAACTCTAACCTCTGGCTGGAATTACAAAGCAAGGGATTGAATCAATGGCTTATACTAGTTTCGTGTAATCTCGAGGAACATCTTCGTATAGATCAGCTTCTTATGGCTCTTAATCAATTAGCTGAATTTAGAACTTAGGCAATAACTCTCGATGTTCAGCAAAAAAATCTTAATATCTCAGTCTCACTTACATAGTTTTAGTGTACTTCTTATGCATAATAGCTTTAATTCTTCAGTTTCAAATGTATATATTATTGATTGATTGTAACAGGGGGAAGATTCGGAGAGCAAGGTCCAGTTCAAGGAGACACTGAGAAGAACTCAAACTCACCGAACACGGGAAGAACCGGTTCCTCCTCGGATCCTGTTTCTTCGTCCTACAAAAGCTTCAGCGATATAAAAGCAGGCTTATCAAACACAGGACGAAACACCTTCAATTTCAGTGAAATGAGATCAGGCTTCTTAAACAAGGCAGGAGACGGGTTCTCTGCTCCTAATGCTCTTCCCACCTTCAGAAACGCGACGAGACCACGCTTCCCAAACGCCTTACCTGACCAGTTCAGCCAGATGAATCCAAACGTACCAAGCACAGGAGGAAGCGGGTTCTCTGCTCCTGGTGGTGCAGCGTCGAGCTACGAGAACTTCACTCAGTCTAACCTCTTCAAGGATACTTCCACCACCGGAGGGATTTCGAAAGACCTGGACTACGTCAGAACAGTACTGGAGGACGACGAAGGACGGAGAACCTCGGGGCTGTTCTCTCATTTCCAGCGCCCGAACCTCGAAACGAACGCCGACATCATTCACATCAAGATGCTGCGGAACAACACGTTCGTCACCGTCACTGATTCCAAAGGAAACGTCAAGTGCAAGGCTACGTCGGGTAGTTTGCCTGACCTGAAAGGCGGACGGAAGATGACGAGTTACACTGCTGACGCGACCGCCGAGAACATTGGGAGGAGAGCTAAGGCTATGGGGATGAAGTCTGTGGTGGTTAAGGTCAATGGGTTTACGCATTTCAAGAAGAAGAGAAACGCTATTCTCGCGTTTAGAAACGGTTACTCGAGTACTAAGACTCTGAATCCTATAGTGTACATCGAGGATACGACTAGGAAAGCTCATAATGGTTGCAGATTGCCAAGGAAACGTCGTGTGTGAAACAAAATGGGAAAACGTTCTTTATTGCTTCTTCTTCTTCTTCTCTGCAACATATCTCGCAGGTTTTCTCTATGGTTTATTGTAAGAAACCTTTTGTTTTTGCAAATTGTCTTTGTGTTGGTTACGTTTTTCAATCCGAGGAAAATCGGGTTTGAACCCGATCTCTCACATTGGACCAAAGGGATTTGATTAATAAACCGGTCTGTTTTTTTTTTCTGATTGTTGACCCAATAAAACTTTAAAATCCGCTCATGAGATAAAATAACTGAATTTGAAAAAAAAAAAATTGCTTTCTCAGTAGTCTCAGGAAGAGAGATTGGTGATGCCGATACGGCGGACGAAGCAAGATAAATCTAGGGTTCCGACATTGACGGCGCCGGAACCAATCGCCGTAGCGATTACGCAGATTAACGAGAAGAAGGAGAAGCTGAAGCAAGCTTTCGATGACCTTCAGGCTCACCGATCTCTTCTCTCACCATCTTTCGACTTTTCCTGGTCTGAGATTGACTCCCACTTCTCCTTCCTCCAGTCTTCACTGGTTAACCGCTTCCGCCTCCTCCAATCAGCCGCGACTTGTCCTGATTCCGACGGAATCGAAGCCTCCACGTCGGAGACGCCGCTCCTATGGCCGGAATTGAGAACGTTTTGTGAGAATATGGACGGGAAAGGTTTGGGACAGTACATGATTGATAATTCTAGCAAGCGTTTGTCGATCAGTCTGGAGCTTCCCGAAGCGATTCGACTCTCAGCGAATCGAGCAGCGTTGGTTCTGGACGCGATCGAAGGTTCTTACCACTGTTCCCCATCGTCTTCCTCAGCCAGAGCGATCGATGGAAGAAGGGTTTTCGTTTTGTTATTAGAAGCTTTGATCGAGGTGAATGCGAATCTCACGAATGATCTGAGAGAAAGAGCGAGAACGCTTGCTTATGATTGGAAATCGAATATAGGTAACAAACCATCAGAGGCGTTAGGGTTTCTCCACTTGGTCGCAGTCTTTGAATTGGGGTCTCTGTTCAAAATCGAGGATCTTGCTGATTACGTTTTCTTGATCTCAAAGTGCAAACAAGCAGCAACGATCTGTAAGAAGATTGGTTTAGATAAAAACCGAATCGCAGGCCTCGTTCAGAAGTTCTTGCATACTGGGAGATTGCTCGTTGCGATTAGATTCATCTACGAGTTTGAGATGACTGATAGATTCCAACCAGTTGACATATTGAAAACAAGTTTGAAGAATTCTAGAGAAGCTGCCAAGAGAGTTTGCGCCGAAGGGAATTACTCTGTCAAGGCACAGAACGAAGCCATTGATAAAGAGCTTAACGCCTTGAGAACAGTGATCAAAGTCGTCAAAGAGAAGAACCTCGAATCCGAGTTTTTACAAGAGAAGCTCGAAGATTGCGTTCGAGAGTTGGAGAAGCAGAAAGCAGAGAGGAGGCGTGATAACACTGTTAATCCCCAGAAACCACAGCAGCAGCTCGGCAACAAGCGTCCTCGAGTTGCTATGGGTAAGAATTTGACAATCCCACCTCTGAGTCAGCAACAGCCACTTTTGCCTGATCCTAGCCACGGTTTACTAGTGAACCCATATGGTCTTGTGAACTCAGTACGACCTGGTGTTACTGTCAACCCATTGACTCTATATGGCTCGGTAGTCCCAGCTCCGGCTCTAGCTTCTTTACCTGTTTACAATGAGCAGCAGAGTGGTTATGGTGGATATGGGTTCGCACCTCAATACCACCCACCTTACTATTAACTAGGGAATGCAAGCGAAAAAGGTTTTTTTTTGGGGGGCCTAAGAGGTCTAGGCTCTATGTGTTTTTGATGTTCTGTATTGAACATCAAGTAAATTATCTCAACACGTGATTATAGTCGCTGTTTTTGTGATGATAACAAAGCAAATTGATCATCTTTTGTTTTTCTTTTCTTGTGAATGGATTTTAGAGTTTGATTTTGTACATCTTTGTAGTCTACTAATCTCTTTGTTTATTAGTTTACTTGTGGAGGAAATGTCTTTGTGGATTGATCTTACATGTCTAATTCTTTGATTTGGTAGATAACCTGCCAAGATTTTGGATTAGACAGTTTATGTAGTAGTTGATGTTTTTGGCTTGATTGTTGTTGTGGACAGGGAACTACGTTTCTGCATTTCTTAAATCTTAAATAAACGGAGTAACCAAAAAAACTTCGAAGAATGGATTTTGAATATATTCATCTATATTTTTAACAAACACAGAATCATGAATAGTAGTGTTACACTTTAAAAAATATGCCTTTGGTTTTTTATTTTTTAGTGATTTCGTTTCAATGGAGAAGGAACATGTTCGTTGAGAAAAAGAAACACGGAACATGTTCTTTCTCAGTTTCGTCTCGTGTACCCATATTGATCAGGATAAGCCAATCAGTGAGGTGCCTGAGTCCACGTATATAATAGATTATCTTTTTTTATTTTTTGTTACAGTCGATTATCTCTAAGATTTGTTTGCACTTTTCTATTCTTATTTTTTTTTATTTGTTATTTCAGAAATTAAAAAAAAATCTTTTGGGATTGAGCGTCTCGCCAATATATATCATACGCGTCATCCTCGTCTTCTCCGTCTTACACTGATTATATCTCTCAACTTCACTATCTCAGCTTTCGACGTCTATTCATAATTTCATCATGGGTTTGAAGGTACGATCAGATCCGTATGAACAATTTCAGTTTATTATGCGGATCTACTGTTTGTGTATAATATATCAGATGTGATCAGACAAGTTTGTTATCGATCTCACCGTCTGAGTTTGTGTTCACGGATCCTCGCTTCTTCGATTGATTTCTAGATTTGTGTGTGTGTGTGTGTGTGTGTGTGTGTATTATATGGTTATATATGGTCAAGGACTGATCACTTTATGGAATTTGATAATCAATTTCATACATTGTTCGCAGAGGGTAATAAGGATTTTTGAATATGAGTTAGGTTTGGTTTTTGTTTATAATGACGTCTTGTGTTGAGTTTGATTGTGTTTGAGGGAATTAAGATTGTTTCGCTTGATTTGTTGATTTATTTATATATATATATATATATATATCTGCAGGAGGATTTTGAGGAGCACGCCGAGAAGGTGAAGACGCTCACCACGAAACCTTCGGACGAGGACTTGCTCATCCTCTACGGACTCTACAAGCAAGCCACGATCGGACCAGTGAACACCGGTTAATATTATTAGGAAGCTTTGATATTAAGATTCTCTGGTTTGCTTCTTAGCTATGTTAATAACGTTTCTTTGTTTTTCTCGGTTTGATTTAAAGCTCGTCCTGGAATGTTGTACATGAAGGAGAAAGCAAAGTGGGATGCATGGAAGGCCGTTGAAGGTAAAAAAACATTTCATATTTGATTTGCTTTGTAACCAAAATGTTTTTGCTTGTGGTTCTTGTCTGAAAGTTCAATCGTCCGAATTTGACCCGTCATTGTCTGGCTTTTTTTTTTTGATTTTGATGTCTCAGGGAAATCGACTGATGAAGCCATGAGTGACTACATCACTAAGGTCAAGCAACTCCTGGAAGCAGCAGCGGCTTCAGCATGATGAAACTCCTCTGCAGTAAATTTATCTTTAAGTTTCAAATAACATAGCATAAGACTTGTTCTTGCTTCTCGTGTTTTCTATCATTATATCAATCTCTCTACTTTGTGACCTTCGTCTTGATTTAAAAATTCTCTAGTTTGGGCTTATATCCATTGAAGATGCTTGATGTTGGTATAATCGAAGAATCGTGATGCAAAATTAAAATCATATCTGTAACCCATTTGTGATAGAGACGATCTTGTCGAATCGGAGATGAAGCTTATCTAAAGTATATATTACGTCCGTTACGATCTGGAACCGTATCCGTAATTTTGGTCAATCGTAGTATTGTATTCAATAGATAAAAACTAATTAATTTTTCAATCTGGAGTACATAAGAAAAAGGCTGGAAACAAGGAACAGTGACAAATCTATTTCCCTAAATTATTCAGATTATTTAAAGTCAAAATCGTTAGTAATACAGAGTAATACAGATTTGCCTCAAGAAGTCAAATTCTCTTGCACGAATAAACTCCGCAATCTTACATTTAGAGGTCTCATGGTACATTCATTTTTCATTCACATTCTCTCATTCTCGACTTACAAAAGTAGTCGTGTCTTTTGTATGTTCAACAACAAAAGTAGTCGTGTCTCTTTTTCTCTTCCACCATTAAAAAACTCAGAGACACCGATGAATTTGTACTCCTATTTTATTTACCCTTAAATTTTAGTATTTCAACTTAACTCCCAATTCCTCTCCTATTTTATTTTCTCTTAAATTTTAGTATTTCAACTTAAGTCTCATTTCCTATTATCAATACATTAATAACCCTTGTGTTTCACGAAGAGATGACACATCAATTTTTTCAATTATTTAGTATCTCACATCTAATCAAAATAAAAAAAAACCAATCACAACATAACAATAATACATATCATATTCAAAATTCATCTACTAATAATTGTTTTTTTTTTTGCCAAACCCATTAAAAACCCAGAAAAATCTATATTTTTTAAAAACCTAAATTAATCAACATGTTTTTTTTTATTTAGACCACCATAACTCGGAGATTCGTATTTTCGATGGATACTGAGAACATAGCAATAGCTTTCCGACTATTCTCCGTCTAAGCAATACATGAAAGCTTTCCATTTCTCATGATTTCAATTCATCTGCCGCTTCGTCTTCACTTTCGCAGCTTCGCCTCTCCTCGTAGTCACCTGCGAAAACCTCAATCTCCTAGGTGACTTTTGGAACCAACTTTGATTTGGTTGTTAGTATTCATATATGCTCGATTGATTCCCGATTGTCGAAGTTGGGGTTTTATATTGCTATTGCTGTGATTGTGACTTGATTGCTTCCCAATAATTAATTATTTTTGTTGAGTTGACTTGATTGATTTCAATCGTATTTCATTTGTACATATAGTCACATATCTCTGCAAAGAGAGTTTAAAGGTGAAGAGATATAGATTTCCTTTTCCACTTGTAGCGAAATTAAGGTAAAATCACTTATATGAACTATTCTAGAGGATTGAGTTTAGGATCTGAAGTGGATCAATGTTAAGCTTTTTTATTTCTCTTCAAATCTCCGGTTTGTAATTTTGTATACATGGTCAAAGAGAACCTGACAACACCCTCATTTATGTTCACCTATTATCAGAAGATCATTGTTTACATCGCTCCATGACAACAAATTAGGAGAATCCATATCAATTTAGTGGCTTTCATTATGTGCATGAATAACTCAATTCTACATGAAAGGCGACGACAATATGGATGAATACAACACATACGTTGGATCTAGGGTAATGGGGGTTTATGAGGAGAAAGGTATTGAAAGGCATTATCATTCAATAATAATTATTTTCTTTTTGAACCAATTTAATATACTTTAATCAAGAATGTTTATTTTTAATTACTTAAACAATCTACGTTTGTTTGACCAAAAAAAAAAACAATCTATGTTTATGCTTAAGAAACAAATTTCTTACTGATTAGTTAAAAATTTAAAATTAATTAATTGAAAAAATAAAATATGAATCTTTATAACTACACTTACTAGAAATTACCTCGCGCGTTGCAAAGATTTATTTGTTAATTCATATAATTATTATATTTTTTATTTTATTTTATATATTATTTTGGTTTTTAATTATCGTAAATATCTAAACTAATTATGAAATATTTTCTCTAATATAAATTATGATATTCATATTATTATTATGTATATGTTTATGTTTATTTTATATTATGATGTTGTATTTTTTTTTTAAAAAAGATCTTTTATTTTTTTTCCAAAATATGTATATTTAAATTGTAAATTTCTTCTTCTAGTATAGATTATGATGTATTATATTAATTATTAAAAGGTCTCTTATATATTTATATGATGCAATAAGTATTATATGTATCATAACTGTGTAACTGTATTAAATTGGGTTTTGATTTTTTTTTACAGTTTATTTCCACAGATAAAGTGAAATCATTATCAATCTTTCTCCACTCTAAACTAAATGTTCTCTTAATTTTTTTATCGATTTTTTTAAAAATCTAACTCATTTTCAAGCACAAATAATCATTCATTTTATTTTTCCTTTTTATTTGCTCTTAGTCTTATTATTCTGATTACAATCACTGATATTTTCTTTTATTTCATGCACGCTTTCGTCTCATTCAATTATGCTTACTTGAGAAACTTTTGATTTTAATTGATTTCAAACATTTGTCTTTTTTCGAAAAACAACTCCAATGTGTTCATCTGACGATGATGAACTACCTGACTCTATTTGTGAATGTGTGTGAAAATATTTTGTCTATTTTCATGTCATGTGAAGGTAAAGAACCTGACTTTGTTAAAAAATATAATCAATAATCTTGTTTTAGTTTATTTATATACTTCATATTAAAATTCATAAATTATCCGACTGGTGAGTAAATTTATCGAATATTAACTTTATATTGCCATCGTTGAGAATGGTTGATAAGTATTTGCGTCTTTGTATAAGTCAAACTTATTTCTATACTATATAATTAAACATTTTAGTTTTTTATTTATAAAAAAATTATTTATTTTACACAGTAAAGTAGATATGAGTGATTTTACTTTCTTTTATGCATTAATATTTTTGAGAATTTTTTTTAAAAAGTTTGATAATCATTCTCTGCAAGTTTTTATGTCATCTTTCGTAATTGTTTACCTTCCAACTCTTTTTCACAGTCTATTTATTTATATTCAAAATAAATCTTTTCACATTCTATTTATTTATATTCAAAATAAAATTTTAAATTTTTATTTCGTAGAAAATTTATGTTTTTATGATTTGTAAAATAAGTATTTATATTATATGAATGATTTTATTTTAGTTTTATACATAAATCTTTCTACGGTTTTTTTTTATAAAATGTTTTGAGAATTATTTTCTGTAATTTATTCAATCAGCTTTTGTATGTGTTTACCTTTCAAATTCTTTTTCTTAAACAAAGAACATAAGTTTGTAATTTTTACGACTTGTAAAATAAATACTTGTTTTTAATTTGAAATTTATCATATTAGAAGCCCAAAAATAATCCATACTATTAATTGAGGACCACTTAAATGTTTAAACATATTTTATGTGTTATATTACATGAGATATCATTGTATTTTAACATTTTCTTTAGAATTTCATTAAATATAGTTTAGTCATTTGTTAATACAACCAATTAATATTTATTTTCTTTTTTATTTATTTAATTATTATATTCCTGTTACCAAACATATTAATTTTTAAATATTCTTTAGATTAGTTTAACTCTAATTACCAAACACATCTAAATAATTTCAAGTTTTCCATAAATAGTTATTTCGAAAATTCTAATTAATCATAGAATTAATTACAACCAACTTTATATAAAACAAAATGACAATTATAATTACAATATATGATATTAAATAAATAAATATTTATACAATTTAAAACATTTTGCGAAAAAATAACAAATAATATTTTTCAAATATTTATTATTATGTAACAATATAAGAAAATAACAATTATAATTAATATAAATATACATAATTAAATTCTATATATTTACACAATATAAAACATAATGCAAGAGAATTATTACAAAAACAAAAATTATAATCTTATTATTATGCAATAATATAACCAAACACATATTAAAGAAAAATAAACTAAAACCTAATTTTTATATATTATTTGTAATATGTTTAGTGCAATCTAATATTATATTAAATTATGATTAAATTATTTCAAATTTAAAAGCATCATGATCAAATTTAAAAAACCATGATTAATTAACAGTAAATGATAATAACCATATATTTTTCTTAAATTATATTTAGTTCTATAAAATATGTAATGAATCGATTTTATAATATTTTATTAATATTCTATTACTAAAATTATGGAGCAAGCTTTGAAAAAAACAATCAAAATATTTTTTAATTAAGAAACAGTAACTGCATAAATTTAAAGCATATTCTAAAAAATATATATTTTAGCATATTTTCAAAAACATTACAAACTATTGATAAATTTTTATTGTAGATGTAAAAATATATTAATAATAAGTCAGTAATTAATAAAAGTTTTCATAATTTACAATTAACAAGATAAAACTATTTATTATAATAGTATTTCAATAAACTATAAGGGAAATAAAAACAGTAACTCATATTATCTCATTTTATCTAATTTATTTTGGCTAATTTTTTCTCTATTTACCTGCGCGGGCGCGCAAGTCCAACATCTAGTTACCCATTATATAAAAACTTATAAACAAAACCCAAATATTTAGGAGCCCATTTTGAAATAAAAATTATGCTGATGTGGACACTTTAGATGGAAAAGATAACTTGCTCATTATATATATGATTTTGATTAGCTACACAATTTAAAATTAAATAATATATGAACATGTGTTCAACAAAAAAGAATGAATTCTAATAAAATTTTGACACTACGGTTTAGTAAATTATATAATATGTGTATGTCTGTTTTGAAAATCACTCAACATAATTTCCTAAATATAGGGTTTCTTGTGAATAAAGCTATTTGAATTATGATGGTAGTTGTATTTTGGAAACAAACTGTAAGAAGAGAATATCTAAGATGCAGCTATTTTTTAATTATTTTCCAAAGTATGAATTTATTTATGCAATCTAAATTTTCAATCATAACTGACAATGAAATTCTGAAATCTGTATTGTTTAATTGTTGCTGATAGTATGGAGTTAGCTGTATTACTTAATTTTTCTTTGTTTAGATTGAGAATATTGGTCTTAAAGGCAAAGTCTCTTTTTCTTGTTTCTATCTGAATAGCTATGAAAGTAAAATTATGGTATTGGCTAAAGTTGAAAGATCGGAAAGAGTACATGAATCATAATATACAGGTGGTTAGAAATAAACTTGTATACATAACAAAAGAATGGGCTGAAAAAGAGTAAAGAACAATATATTTTAAGAAAAAGAGGAGAAATTAAGAAGGAAAAAATTTAAAATAATATATATATAAATAAGTTAATGAAATCTTAATATGCAAAATTATAAAAAAATATAAGTAATATTTAACATTATAAGCCAAATAATATATATAGATTAATTTAACTAATATTTATCTATTTTCATAGTTACCAAATTCAAAATTATATATTTCAAAATGCATTAGAAGCATATGTAGTATGAAATCACGGATAGTTACAATGGCTACGAAATCACTCCAAACATTTATATCTTATTTGATGGTTTTGTGTTCTCGTCAATTACAATTTTTTCTTTCTTTTGAGTTTATAGTATTTTAAACTGCCATTAAAGTAAATCACATTTTTGGTCATGTTAGGGTTATACATATTATTTTATTATTAATAATGTTAAAGATGAAATGCTGATTTGTGTTAAGTCAAAGATGTTAAAGGTCCCAAATTTTAATAATGTTAAAAATGAGTCAATTTTATACATATTACTTTATTTCTTTATTTCTTTTGTTTTTTTCTTCGATATAGAATAAATATAAAAAAATAGAATTATTGATCCCTATATAAAGAAAATTTGAAAAATAGAGAAGTAGTTTCCCATGTATCCAGAAAGAAGAAGAGGGAAAAAGAGAAAAAATATAGAGAAAAATATGAAATAAAGAAATAAGATATTTCAATGCAAATGATGGACGAACTCGATTGTGATCTGGTTTAGATTTCCTCTAAATTTGGTGTAAAGAAAAATTACTATATCAAAACACAACATTAAGCTAAATTGAATAAAAAAAAAACAAATAAGAAACATCAATAGCAGAGTGCGGATTCGAGATATAGGTTTAAGATTATTTGATTGTATGCTATTAGTTCTATGATTATGAAAAGATATTATTAGCATATATGAATTTGAAAAAAATGTTCGGTCAAATTGAGAAAGAGAATTTGATAAAGCAAAACACTAATAATTTCCTTTAAAATTATAATTAAAGTTTAAAAAACTTGCAGAGATATGTGCATGTATATTCAATTAATGTTAAATTTTAACAAACTTTGATGATAAATTTTATTAATTTTTAGAAGAAATTATTTTTGTTTGTATCGCTAATATAGTATTTAGTTAGTCAACGGAGCAAACTTGATAACAAATTAGAATTTTTTAAAAATAAAAACTAAAGACATATAATATTTATCCAGATTAAAAATCTATAAATACAAAATTTAAAGTAATCAAAAAAATAAATATAATACTCATTTTATAATAAACAAATTTATCATATTAAAATTTATTTTGCAGCATAGCACGGATAAATACCTAGTGTTTAACAAAATCGTAAGTTACCATATTATACATTTTTAATATATTTGTTTTACAAATTTTGTATGTAAAAAAAAGTAAAAATAATCTTTTAGACGATACTCAAAAACGGATATTCCACAAATTTGACTAATAAAAGTTAGTTATCACATTAATATTGAAATCTCCAATAAACTTACCAAATTAAATCTACTGTTAGTCAACATAAACAATATGGTAACATCGTTATATAGAGATCCAAAACCTGTTTAATTGTTTGATTCATATAAATTATAGGGTTTTTTTTCCAAACACATATTTGTCACTATTGTCATACAAAAATAGTTATCTATCAGAGTTTATAGCATTTTTTTCACAGTTATTTATCGAAATTTTAATTTTGTGTGCATAACAGTGGAATATTATATAAGTGTTGGTATCACTATCATCCACAATATTTAATTGTTTTTCCCCCAAAAAATAGTGTTATTCGTTTCAAAAATTTATAACATAAAGACAACGGAACGATAGAAATGGAAGAAATTGATGTGTGATTATTTTTTAAATAAACCGATAAATCATATAGCGATCCGTCTGGTTTTTCCCCTAATTTTTTTTCAAATTTTGAAAACCAAACGTTCCCAGATTTTCATCATTTGTGTTCTCCAACGCCGCAAAACGCCGCAACCCGCCGCCTTCGCCGCTGCAGCTGCATCGGGAAATGTAAATAGCCTACGTATGTATCACTCTTTTTGTTTCTAACGTGTAAGTCATCTTCTTCTTCTTCCTCTTCTCCTCCTCTTATAAACCCTAATTTCGAGGGGGTTTTTATGCAGTCGCAGTGTCTACACATCCTCCAAACCATCTGTGTTTATATCTCGATGCTGGGATTACCTCTAATTTGATCTCAATTTGGAGAATTTCCCCACCATTTTGTTTTATTCGATTAGCTTTTGACTTTGATGACCACAAGAATCGACTTAAGTAATTAAGTTTTTCTTCGATTTCGATACTGATTTTGATTTCTCGTAGCTGCGACTTAGCTGATTCTGATTACATCGGAGGGTTTTAACTTACGCGAATTTCCATTTTCGTTCTTCGTTTTCAGGTTCCAAGCTTTATTTGATCGAAGCACACATTTATCCGCCGATTTTGCCTAAATGTCTCTCCTAAGTAGGTTTTTTTACAAGAGACCACCAGATGGGTTGCTTGAATTCGCTGATAGAGTTTATGGTAATACCATTTCCTTTTCTCAATCATGAATACTGTTTCGTTTCTTTCTTGTTCTGATAGGCAAATCTGTGTGAACTTGGACAGTTTTTGATTCATGTTTTTGCACGGAGGTGTTGCCTGATGGTTTATACCAAATCTTCCTTCACGAAATCATCAATGACTTACACGAAGAGTTCCCTGAATCGTCGTTTCTAGCATTCAACTTCCGGGAAGGTGAGAAGAGAAGCGTTTTCGCCGAGACTCTCTGTGAGTACGACGTGACTGTCCTTGAGTACCCAAGGCAATACGAAGGCTGCCCTTTGCTCCCTTTATCGCTGATCCAGCATTTTCTCCGCGTCTGCGAGAGCTGGCTCGCTCGTGGGAACCGTCAGGATGTGATTCTTCTTCACTGCGAGAGAGGAGGCTGGCCGCTTCTGGCGTTTATCCTCGCTAGTTTCTTGATTTTCAGGAAAGTTCACAGCGGCGAGCGCAAGACGCTTGAGATTGTGCACCGTGAGGCTCCCAAGGGTCTCTTGCAGCTGCTCTCGCCGTTGAATCCTTTCCCGTCTCAGCTTCGTTATCTTCAGTACGTGGCGAGGAGAAACATCAATCCTGAGTGGCCACCTCCTGAGAGATCGCTTTCTCTGGATTGTGTGATTATTCGAGGTATTCCGAACTTTGACTCGCAACATGGATGCAGACCAATTATACGTATCTTTGGGAGAAATTTTAGTTGCACGTCTGGTCTTTCCACGGAGATGCTGTATACTATGACTAATAAGAAGAAACCACTTCGGCATTACAGACAGGTGGGTGTGTTGTTATTGTTTTTTTTCGTTATGGTTTCTTCAAGCAGTTTGTATGATCACTCTCTCTGAGTAATGTAAGTCTGTACAAATGTGGCTGCAGGCAGAATGTGATGTGATCAAAATTGACATCCAGTGCTGGGTTCAAGGAGATGTTGTACTGGAGTGTGTGCATATGGATTTAGAGCCAGAACGAGAGGTTATGATGTTTCGTGTTATGTTCAATACTTCATTCATCAGGTCCAACATACTAATTTTGAACTCAGACAACTTGGATATTCTTTGGGAAGCCAAGGATCATTATCCGAAAGGGTTTCGAGCAGAGGTATAGACCTTTTCTTATTCATCTCTTGTGGGTTTATATGAATATGAGAAGATATGGGGGTAGAGAGAAGAAACGAACACACAGATAAATGATTAAGATAGTCCATACTCATGCTAAGTTATAGTTGCGCTTGTTTTTGACTCCGTTCTGTTTATGCCATCAGGTTTTATTTGGAGAAGTTGAGAATGCCTCACCTCAGAAAGTGCCTACTCCAATAGTGCATGGTGATGAGACTGGTGGCCTGCCCATTGAAGCCTTTTCTAAAGTTCAAGAACTTTTTAGCGGTGTGGATTTGGCTGAGAATGGTGATGATGCTGCTCTGTGGTTGCTGAAACAACTTGCTGCCATTAATGATGCAAAGGAGTTTACAAGGTTTCGGCACAAAGGGAGTTTTTATTTGAATTCTCCTGACTCTGAAGAGGAGACCAACACATCTAGTGCCGCTGATAGTTCAGATGAAGGCTTTGATGCCATTCATAAACCTCACATTCCTATACCTTTTGATAACGATGAGACAGAAGATATTCCTATATCTTTTGCTCCTGAATCTTTAGAGGAGCCTCAAGAAGTTTCGACGAAAGACAGCGTCCACCCTCCGACACTTCTGCCTCCACCACCACCACCGCCTCCACCTCCTCCCCCTCCTTTTACGAGCACAGCCTCAGTTTCACCCCAACTCCCACCCCCTCCTCCACCGCCACCTCACCCTAACACCAAAACACTTTCACCACCACCACCTCCTCCTCCTCCACCTTTCTCTAGAGGCATTCCACCACCACAGCCACCACCATCGCCACCTTCGTTTGGGAACACAGGAAATGAACTTCAAGCACAGCCACCTCCACCTCCACCTCCTCCTCCAATCAAAGCATCTTCTGCTACTAAATGTGTACCGCCGCCACCACCCCCGCCTCCACCTACATCTCATTTTGGCCCTGCTCGTGTTGGCCCACCTTCGGCACCACCACCACCCCCGCCTCCACCTACATCTCGGTCTGGTCCTGTTCGTGTTGGCCCACCTTCAGCACCCCCACCACCACCACCTCCGCCTCTTAAGGCTAATATTTCAAATGCTCCCATGCCACCTCCTCCACCACCACTTCCTCCCTTTTCGGCAAAGTCGGGTCCCCCTCCTCCGCCTCCACCACCTCTTCCTCCCTCTTCGGCAAAGTCGGGCCCCCCTCCTCCGCCTCCACCACCACTTTCTTCTTCTTCTGCAAAGTTGGGTCCCCCTCCTCCGCCTCCCCCACCACTTCCTTCTTCTTCTTCAAAGTTGGGTGCCCCTCCTCCACCTCCACCACCTCTATCCAAGACCCCTGCTCCTCCTCCTCCACCAGTGATGGGTCGTGGTACAAGTAGTGTCCCCCCACCACCACCGGGAGCAAAAAGTTTGAATGCACCGCCGCCTCCTCCTCCTGCAGGAAGGGGCAGAGCTTCCTCGGGACTTGGAAGAGGTCGAGGTGTGAGTGTGCCTGCTGTTGCACCTAAGAAGACCGTGCTGAAGCCTTTGCATTGGAATAAAGTTACCCGGGCAGCAAAAGGTAGTTTGTGGGCTGATACTCAGAAACAGGAAAATCAACCACGGTGGGTTCCTCTTGAATTTTCATACTTCTAAATGTTTTAGCTTGACATTCATACCGTCTCCGAATAGTTCATTAGAATAATAAAACAATAATGAAACGTGTCTCCAGTAGAGTCTTACTGCTACTTTTTCCGAACTAATCAGATGCGAATTTTCTGAATGTGCATGACAGGGCCCCTGAAATAGATATATCAGAGCTCGAGAGTCTCTTTTCTGCAGCTTCAGATACAGGTGCGAAGAAACCCACAGGTCGCCGGGGTTCTAGTATCAGCAAACCTGAGAAAGTTCAACTGGTGAGGCAGCTTTGTTTACCTCAGTACATATCTGACAGTTACTATATGTAAATGACAGTTCTGTAAAATTGGAAAATATTACCAAATATAAATAATCATGATTCTTGCCTCTTAGTTTACTTTTTCGTACTAATTTTTGTTTTTCTCTGTGATTGTATCAGGTTGACCTGCGAAGGGCAAATAACTGTGAAATAATGCTTACGAAAATAAAGATTCCTCTACCAGATATGCTTGTAAGTATTCTCTGCCAGTATCTTTTCTGCCCATCATTTTAGCATTGAAACAATAGCGTGAGGTGAATGTTTAGAGAGAAGAAGCATGCAAGTTTTCTTTTTAGTGTTTACATTTCATTATCTAACATACTACTTAGTTAGTTGCATCTCTTTTACATCATGTTTACATATTTCTACTTACTGACAATTTCATATCTTTTCTTATCTTAGAGCGCAGTTCTAGCCTTGGATTCGTCAGCTCTGGATATCGACCAGGTTGAGAATCTCATCAAATTTTGTCCGACCAAAGAAGAAATCGAATTATTGAGGGTAATCTTAAAATTAACTGTCATATTTCTCTCTGGTACCAGGTTCATAGGTTATGTTTGGCTTCAAAAAGTCTAGTTTATTTCCTTCTGAAAGGTCTAGCTAATTTGATTTTCACAACTAGCAAATTCGATCCGAATTCAGAACCATGGAAAGATCCTGTTGATTTTATGCCTGTAGCTAACTCATTCTGTTTTTTTTTCCAGAATTATACTGGTGACAAAGAAATGCTTGGAAAGTGTGAACAGGTTAGTTCCAGTTCTAAACCGTCGGATGATTATTGTTTATATAATCTGTGTTCTGACTCTTTACTTTGTAAATGTACCAGTTTTTCATGGAACTAATGAAAGTTCCACGTATAGAAGCAAAGTTACGAGTGTTTGGTTTTACGATTACCTTTGCTGCTCAGGTAGATATGTTAAACTCTTTTTAATAATGCCATCTTCCTTGTTAGATGTAACTTTCTTTAGATTATTGTCTCTCCTGTCTTAAGACGTGTTGTAAGTGATGATGTTTTATTTTTGTTCTATTCAGGTGGAAGAATTAAAAGGCTACCTGAATGCGATAAATGCTGCTACTAAAGAGGTATAGTATAGGGTGATATCTTCTATGCTATGGCAATGTAGCTCCATCTTGGGTTACTAAGTGTTGTTTTCATGTACCAGGTGAAGGAGTCTGCAAAGTTACGTCAGATTATGCAGACAATTTTAACACTGGGAAATGCTTTAAATCAAGGAACTGCGAGAGGTATCAAATTGTCCTATTGGTTTCAAATTTCATGAATTTTTTCTGTTAGCGTCTGTTGGTGATGTAGTGGCTTGTGTTGCAGGATCTGCTGTGGGTTTCAAACTGGACAGTCTTCTTAAATTGTCTGATACTCGTGCAAGAAATAACAAAATGACTTTGATGCATTACTTATGCAAGGTAGAAAATGGTCTCACTTAATTTTTCATATCACAACAGTTTCAAAAGGCAACTCTGTGCTACAAGCCTACAAGTGCGCCACATTGTTTAACGTTTATGCAGTTAGTTGAGTAAGGTGCTGTTTGAATACGACCTGAAAACCTTATTGTTTTTTTGTTTACTGCTTAGCTTGTTGGTGAAAAAATGCCTGAGTTGCTTGATTTTCCTAATGACCTTGCTCACTTGGAAGCTGCCTCGAAGGTACGGCTTATTATTCATGGTTGCTTCTTTTCTTTCACCAGGTACTAGAGCTTCTAATTGCACTTTTGTTTCTAAAAAAATGCAGATTGAATTGAAAACGTTGGCTGAAGAAATGCAAGCGCTGAGTAAAGGCCTTGAGAAGATGGAGCAAGAGCTCTCGGTTTCAGAAAAGGATGGTGCAATTTCTCTGGGTTTCCGGAAGGTGAGCACATGTGTAGAGAGATAGTTGCATGATAAGAGCCTCGAAATCTTCGTACATGTCTCAAATGGGTCTCACTTCATTTTTTTCAGGTCTTGAAGGATTTTCTTACTGCCGCTGAAGCAGATGTGAGGTCGCTTATTACCTTGTATAACGAAGGGGTGAGCTGATACTTATCAGTTAGAACTTATAGGACATGTAGTTCGAACTCATGTTCCAATCCTAATATGAATTTGTAAATTCACAGGGGAAAAATGCAGATTCCTTGTCGCACTACTTCGGTGAGGATCCAATTCGTTGCCCTTTCGAGCAAGGTACATGCACAAAATCTCTTCTGCTAGAATGTCTAAAGCCACTCTGGGACCAATTCTCTGTTCTGAACGTTGTTTCCCTTCTGCAGTGACCAAGATTCTGACTCTTTTCATGAAAACGTTCATCAAATCTCGAGAGGAGAATGAAAAACTAGCTGAGGCTGAGAAGAAGAAACTGGAGAAAGATGCAATAAAGGAGAAGTCAGCGACAAAGAAAGATGGCGCTGATAACGAAGACGAGCTTATCAACCAAATCCATAGACATAGAACATGAACAAAGACCGGTCTTTAACCAAAGACCCGAGAGGTTAGAACTCAATGTTGCACATACCGAACAAGAGCAGAGATCTTTCCTAGATCTTAGATAAAGTAGAGACAACTGCTATGATGTTTATATGGAAGTGTAAACTAAATATGATCACTTCCATTGATGTAAAATCAGAGGTTCGTGTTTAAGTCCTAGAAAATATTTCAACTTTCATAGAACCCAAAAGTTATATCATCTTCGCTGTGCATAGAACAACTTCTTTTCTTTTTCGAAGAATAAAAAATCTTTACATTTTACGTTGTCTGCATATAACACAGTGCAGAGAAATAATCAGAAGCTTTTGTCTTGTTTCAACAAGTTCTACAATTGTTGTTCTAACACAAGATTTTGGCTTCCTTTTCTTCTTTAAGAAATTATCATTTCGGTTTTTGCAAAGTTGGGAGACTCAAGACAGAGCAGAGGAAGCAGGAGAAACTTCATCTCGAGGTGCTGCTTCCATTGGAACTATCGGAACCGATGGTATCTCGAGAGGTTTTGTTCTCTTTGTTACAGTCAGTTTCAATCCTTCTGTGGTGTGTATGGTAGCTCCTGTAGTCATTTTCACCTGTACATCAAGAAGAACGAAATGTCGACAAAAGAATCAATGATCAGACTAAAGAGCAAGAGTTTTGCTGATGACTCTACCGGAGGAGCTCCTGGCGCAGTCTGAAAGTCGAATCTTCGAATAAGCATTGCGATTGCTACCACATTCTACAAAACAGAGATTTTCTGTTACTACAAGAACATCTGAAAGAGGCACTCGTGTCGAACATGTCAATAGATTCTTTACCTCAAACGAAGCAAACATGTCGCCTATGCATTTCCGCGGTCCTCCACCAAACGGTAAGTAACTGGAGAAAGCAAGTTTCACCGATATACTTTTGAAATCTGCTGAAATGAGAAAGTGATAAGCAAAGAGAAGAAGACCTTTATACCTGAAGTTTTGGTTTGTCTCATTTGGGTTTGGTCCATCTAGAGGCCATCTCTCGGGATTGAACTTCTCTGCGTCATCCCAATGAAGAGGACTTCGATGTAGATTCCAAACGGAGATGAAGATATCTTCTCCTCTGTTAGGTTTCCCAAACACAATCTTCTATCAGAAAACTCAGAAGTTGTCAAAACGCAGACAAATGAAAACCACAGTGTTGAAACTTCTTGACCTTTTTATAGGATACGGTCCAAGAGTATCGTTCTCTAGAGAACGACGGATCAGTACTGGTGGTTGTGGATACAGTCTCAGTGACTGCACAACATTCAAAGTAAAAAGGTAATCCAAATAGCATTTTTCCTTCAACTACTAAAATTCAATTGCTTTTTACCTCATTCATGACTCGAGTGGTGTATTTCAGCTTCTTCATATCTTCTATAGTTGGGAATCTATCTCCAATAACTGAATCAACCTACATAGAATGATACTGTCCTGAATACTCTTGTAAGATCATATACGAGAGTGATATGTATACTGTATACATACCTCTTGTTGAAGTTTGGCAACTACGCTTGGTTCCTGTAATACCAACAAAAGTTATAAATTTTCTTTAAGGAGCAAATTACACTCTCTAGTCTCTACATACCGTTGTTAAAAGGTAAAAGGTCCATGTTAATACTGCAGCTGATGTTTCATGTCCAGCTATAAGCATTGTCATCAAGTCATCACGGAGTTGTTTGCTAGAGACCTGAAAACAATTTGGGAAGAAACACAGATCAATAATAGCTGATAATAACAATCAAGCTGTTGGATTCGGAAAAAAAGACAGATTATTACATCGTCTCCTGAAGCCAAAAGAAAGTGAAGGATGCTAGGATCTCTTTCGTTCATGTATTCCTCGTGAAACTGCAACTCCTCTTCTTCTACCATTCTCTGTTAAGACAAACAAATAAGAAAACGGAACGAGAGAATACAAAGAGCATGAACAGTTCTTGGACTTAATGCCAAAGAGTAATGATGACCTTGCATGTTGCGATCAAATCATCAAGTGTGTCATTGATCAGTTTCAGCGAAGTAGCGACTTTCCTCTGTCGAGGGGAAATATCTTTCCAAATCGGTATGTCCCAAACAGGAATAGGTGAAACACTTCTATCTTCGGCTTCTCTCAGAACAGTGTAAACTGCCTAACAAAGACAACGCTCAAAAAAGCTTTCATTTTTGCTGATCCAACACACACAAAAAAGGCAAAAACAAACACTGAACACAAAAGGGTATAATCATGAGAGAACCTCGATCACACCAGTATCATTTGTTAAAGAGTCAAAGTCGTAATTGAAAACCGCCTTGCCAATAATATCAAGTGTCAAACGAGAGAAGAGTGATTCCATCTCCACCACTTCCCCTGCAGATGCAGCTGAATCAAGCTTCTGGCAAAGCCTATCTGAAGCTTCTCCAAATAAGCTGATCATAGCTGCTACATACTAAACAACAGAGGGAAAAAAACCATATTATAAACTTTTCATGCTATTGTGTTATTAAATTTCCATATAAATTGGGGTTACCTTCTGATGCAATGCAGGGACAATGGCACGCCTTCTCCTACGCCATATCTCCCCATCAGCAGGAATGAGTCCTTTTCCCATCACAAAATCTAGAATTTCAGCTAAAATCCCCTAAGATTTTACACGTAGATGTATAAGGAAAAAGCATTGAAACTAGACCATTCTTTGCTAAAACTGTTAGTGCAAGCTAAGTGTTGTTACCTTGGAGTAAGCTTTTGCGTTGTCCTTTAATATATGCTTAGCAATAGAAGGATCTGACACGATCAAGAATGACTACAGACAAAAACATAACACATAAATACGATACACAGCCAATACTTTTTCCCTTATTCACAAATTAGAAGATAACACAAAGAACAAACCTTTGGCCCAAAGGTCAACCTGAAGATTCCACCGTAAGTAAGGAAAAGCTCATACAAAGGGATGAAGAAGGCTTCGTTTCGGACAGCCTGGATCGAGCCTTTGGCCTCTGGAACCTTGGGGTACTCTTCGTTAGAGTCGGCCCAATCAAACATCAAATCAAGAACATTGCTGGGGATTCCAAGCTTTGATAAACCATTCTTTACTGTAGATGGAAAACTTGTACAAAGCAAAAACAAGACCAAGAAGCAGAAGCAGATGTTAAAAACACATTCAGAGAATGAAAACAAAACAGTTACAGAATCAATGCTTGTGCTTAAAACTGTTTGCTACATTACGACTATCAATTTATCATCATCTTCTCATCTCCAGAGACTCAAAAAGCTAGTCCATTGATGATTCCTGAGCTAAACCCAATACTCTAGTCCAATCCAATCTGAGACAGTTCTTGACTGAGATTATACATAAAAGTTTTTAACTTTTGTTGTGCCTAGAATCGAACTCGGGTCTTAAATGTTAATTGGTAATTCGAAATTTCACCTAGTTTTTCGTACAGTGAACGCTCCAGAAGCAATCCGAGCAGATAACTCAGCACGACGCTTCTCCTCCTGAAGCTTCTCGATGCTTTTCACTGGCTTCTCCTCAGAGGGATCTCTTCCATTAGAAGCCGAAGAGAAAACTACGAGTTTCTGCCTCCGAGAGTGGATTACTGGTTTTACAGAAATTGGGTTATAGGAAAGAGGAAACGCCATAGCCATACGCCGCCGGGATTATAATAAAACTGATCTGCGCCGGAGAAAGCCTCAGGACACAAGAGCTCGCTCTAGCTGGAAGCCGAGAAAACCATTAAATAAATAAATTTGAGATTAGATTTGGTCTGTTATTATATTCTGAGAAAACAATAAACAGAGGAATGTTTTGCAGAGGAGGAGAGTCTGAGTGTGAAGTAGAGAGAGGAAGAAGAAGAAGAAGAAGAAGGTGATGAGAGAAAAGGTGACGTGTGCATTTTACTAACGTATACGCATTATCTCCTTTAGTGTCGCTATTAATTTGGTCATTGTCACCAAACTCGATTAATCATATTCTTTTCTTAATCAATAAACACAAATACACGCGCCTCAAACCACAAAAACGTTCGAAAGGTTTGAGGTAGTGTCTTCCACGCGTTAATGATGCGCGTATGATAATATGCGTCACGTCATTTTCAGCGTGAATTAGTGGATTTGTAATCAATGTCAATGGGCTGTATTAATGGGCCTATACTATATATTAAGGGTTCTATTAAGCTATGAAATGATGAAATAAATCATATCGAGCCAAATTCACCGTTCGCCACGCAGAAACCAAACCGGACCTTAACATTGTTCCAGACTGAACCAAACCGGCCTGGTTTTTGTAGCGTTGGTTCATCTTCTTCTTCCACAAATATAAATTGTTCATCTTCGTCTTTTGATAAAAACAACAGTTTCTTAATTGTAAATACAGATTATCAAACTTTGAGGAAGTTTCTGTATTTTTGTTACTATTGATGCAAAATTTAATGCTCTTCTTCCTCCTGTTGTGAATTCCTAATTTATCTTGCGAATTTTTTCTTCCATTTGAGCTCTGCAAACAAAAAAAATTCTGATGAGAACTCTGGAATTAGCTTTACCTCCATCTCCGGCATCTATCGTTCCTTCTTTCAACCACTCCGCCGCACGGAACGTCGGAAACGACGTCAGAACCAACTTCGATGTTCAACTTTTCCTAAGGAGACCGAAACACCAAAAATTAGAGCCAGTCGTCGTTATTCAACCCCAGCTTCAGATAGATAGAGCTCCAAAATCAAATCCTCGATGCTCGACTTCCGATATCCTCCGACTAATGGATTCTCTTTCTCTGCCTGGAAACGAGGATCTGTACTCTCGTCTTGCCAAGGAATCAACCAGCGAATGCGATCAACGTGGAGCATACGACCTACAAGTTCATATCATGAACTCCACCGTAAGACCCAGGACGAGTTTTCTCAATCGTCTTCTCTTGATGCACGTCTCGTGTGGGCGTCTAGATATCACACGCCAGTTGTTCGATAAAATGCCTCACAGAGATTTTCATTCGTGGGCAATCGTTATCCTCGGCTGTATTGAAACGGGTGATTACGAAGACGCGGCTTTGCTTTTCGTTTCGATGTTGAAACAACAGAATAGTGCTTACAAGATTCCACCTTGGATCATGGGTTGCGTCCTAAAAGCGTCTGGTGTGATCAGAGACTTGGGTTTAGGGAAGCAGGTTCACGCCTTGTGTCAGAAGCTAGGGTTTATTGAGGAAGAAGATTCGTATCTATCAGGTTCCTTGATACGTTTCTACGGAGAATTCAGGTGTTTGGACGACGCTAACCTCGTGCTACACAGGCTCTCTAATGCCAACACCGTTGTATGGGCAGCGAAGGTTAGTAATGACTACAGAGAAGGAGAGTTTCAAGAAGTAATCCGCGACTTCATCGTAATGGGTAAACTTGAGATCAAGAAGAACATCTCGGTGTTCTCTAATGTCTTAAGAGCGTGCACATGGGTCGGTGACGGTGGGAGAATCGGCCGAGCAGTGCACGCGAATGCCCTGAAGCTCGGGTTCGAGTCGGATTGTAAGGTCCGATGCCGGTTAATAGAGATGTATGGGAAGTACGGGAAGGTGAAAGATGCAGAGAAGGCGTTCAAGAGTATGACTGATGAGAGGGCGAGTGATAGTTGCTGGAACGCTATGGTCGCGGGTTATATGCAGAATGGGTTTTACATTGAAGCCATTAAGTTACTTTATCAGATGAAAGCAACTGGTATCAAAGCAGATGACACACTCTTGAACCAAGTCAACCTCAAGCCCACGTTTTAAGTTTGACAAACAATAGATTTATAAGGAAAACGATGAACCTGATATGTAAATATTTTATATATAAGAAAAAGAGAAATTTAGGTGAAATGACAAATCGGTTGTTATATTGATTCCGTAAGATAGCTTTTCATATACCGAGAATGGTTCGGATCTGATCCGGAGGATGTCGGGCGAGGGATTTCGGATCCGAATACCCGTTTTGTTGATCCATTACAGCTCTGTATATAACTTCGTATGCTTCAGCTAAAGTTTTAGCTACCCTGACACAAGCTTCAGACCTTAGTTTAGGGACTTGTATCTGCTCGAACTCGGGAAGAGAGCCTTCGCTTCCCAAAACGAGGCCGAAGAACGCTTTGAGGCATTCAGATAGCGTCGCGGGCGATGTGTCTTGCTGTTCGGACAAAGGAAGTTCGGTTGAAGTGGAAGTGCGGAAGATTTGCATTTTGTCCGAAAGACCGCATCTTTGAAGGAGTGTGTCGACTTCTTTCTGTACGAGGAGGTTTATGTGGTTCTCGATCATTGATCCGATGTTGGTTACGTACTGGGACGCGACGTCGTGTCTAAGCAACGGTTGCTGGATCGCGCATAGACAGTTGATGAGGAATATCTTCGAGGGTGTTTCATTGTTCTGTAAAAGGAAACATATAAGAAGATGAATCTAAGGAACAACTTCTTTCGGGTTAAGAGCAATTATAGTAGGCGAATTATACCTGTGGTGGGGACGGGCTGCTAGAGAGTAGAGCATCGACTGAAGTTAATTGGTTTGAGTCGGTACTTGATCTGCTTCTTCTGGATAATTGGCCGCTCATCTTCGATTTATACGATTTATGTGCCTCTGCTGCTTGCTCGCACATCTGCAAATTGAGAAAGTTGAGAAACTGGTTCAATGCATGCACAAGTTATGGCATTTGATAGAGGAGAGATGTTTCATGAGTTTGTTTCTACTTTCATGTACCTTGATGATTGGGTCAAGCAGTGCAGAGAGGACGGGATCAAAAGCCGGTTTCTCTCCTGAAGCGGAGACCATCATGCTGTTGTAATTCTCTATTATCTCAAGAGTTAGAGAAATTCCTTCTCGAACAGCTGGAGGCGGAGAGAGATCAATGGCTACAGGTGGAGGGTATCGTAAGAGTTTCTCCCCTCGGGTTTTAAGAATGTCGAAGAAGGTTTTCTGTGCAGCGTTCTTTACCATCGCAATTGTATTACACAGAGCAGTGTCTCGTCCAAGTAAATCTGAGATCTGCAAAGATGAGAGGAACAAAGCAATGATGAAACCACTAGAGCGAGAAAGGCTTATAGTAGTTGATCGAAAAGTAGGAGAAGGTGTTAGATGAAACTCACGGTGTAGCTGTAGAACTCCAAGGTGTTGGTGAGTTTATATGAATTTATAAGACTTGGTTGTGACTGGAGAACTTGTTCGACTCTCACTTTAAATGGCCGGCAAACTCCTTCAAAAATTCTATCCAGAACAAATGTAAAATCAGATTCTGCTGCCTTTAGGGAATTATTCTCAGCGGTGTTCTTCGCTGTTGATTTATGGTCAGCAGAGTCTACATCAAATAAAGCATGAACCAATTCTCTTTCTGATGCCAAAGCCTGCACCCAAAACAACATCCACCTTAGAAAAGGAAAAAAAAAACAAAAGCAATGACGGGAAAATTACTCAGTTCCCACACTTGATCTGACTGAATTTTTATATGCTACATGTATATTGTTGAGTGTAACTAAACAAACACCATTCTTCTGACCATTCTGCTGACATCAGCCGCATGAGGATAAAATGCAGGACTAAAAGGAGATGATAATGTGGTCACAAACCTGATGTAGCCACCCAAGCATGTCTCCCACGTATCGTAAAGGGTCATGGGCATGCACTTCAATGGGTCTAGGCATTCCTCCGGGTCCTCCACGTGTAAGAGCGCTAATGAACCTTCTAAATAATGCATTATGCCTCAGATTCCCTACCTGTATGATTTGACATAGTTCGTAAGGAGCTCTGCAAACATGCCACGTATCATAACAGTTCAACAGAGACTAGACTTCACTGAAGTCGAAAGACTAACCTCCTCTGCACAACATTTGAAGAGCATGGTTCTTTCTTTTAGACAACGTACAGCGTTCCTCAAAATATCACTCACTTCTGGGTTATCTGTATCACCCAGTTTCCTACACTCAGCCTGAACCCACCTAGCAGAATCAAGTTTTCTTTGATTATATTTAATTCGTGGTACCTAAAACTTCAAGGAAACACTAGGCTCGCAGCAATAAGAAATCTTAATAGTAAACATTCCTCTTCGACACAGTCATGAGTTTTCAAAACAAATCATCCCTTATTTACCATGAAAACAGTTTACATTCAGCCAATGCAAGTTTTGAATTAGTATGATCCTCTCTATGTATATTTTGACAAAATGTTCTTGTAAAGATTGAACACAAATGTCTTTCCATGCTATGGAATAACATACGTAAATCATAAGACTAGCAAGGTTTAAACAAAACGAGAGCAAAGTAACTAGTCTGGTAAAGAAACATCGTGGAGAAGTTCATAAAACACTAAACTATTCAGGTTCCAAATTAGCAATGACGAATTCATGCTAAATCCAAACACTAACTAAGTTCCTACCAACAAGTCTTGTTCAGAATATTGGAAAGAATCAGATGTGTACCTGCAAAGTCGCTCATATGCTCCTTCTTGGTACACAGCCATCATATCCATCAGTTCCAAGCCTGCGCGCTGCATACAAGTCCCATTACAGTCAATACTAACCACAAAGATTCATTTTGCACAACAAATGAATACAAATTGCGAAACACAGTGAGAAGATGCTAAAAATCACCTGATGATGCGTCCTGAGAAGTAATTTGCAGTTGGAATGAATTTCCTGAACGTGAGACAACGCTTGGAAGAAGTTCTCGTTCAATTCATCTTCCCTAAGCGCTTTAATCTGCGAAATTGGCAATCAAGTAAGCAACAATCATTTCATACTGCCTCATTTCGGATCTGATCACCATTAAAGTATGATGCAAGAGCTCACCTCTTCGTTGGACAGCTGGTAATCACGAAGAAAGCAATTGACGATCTCTTGCCTCTGAGTAGTGACATCAAGCTCTTGCTTTAGCCTCTCAGTGGTACTGATGATATCGCTGGTGGTAGCAGCGGAGCTACTTAGCGCCGCCGCAATCTTATCGCAACAATCAGCCAAGGCGTTCACTTCCTCCTCCACGCGATCCAATGCGATCTGAGTCGAATCAGCCGCGCTAAGGAACTCGCTGTTGATCTGAAGCGCGCGCTTCTCGATCGTCGATCTGAGATTCCGCCGCGCGTGAGCACTGTTCTCGTCATAGAAAGAGGACAGAGCGTTTAGCGACGCCACCAGATCCGGACTATCCGTACGACATTCCAATACCTTCTTCAGCTTCCGAGAAAGTCCCGGTGCTAATCCCACCGTCGAAGCCATTGTCACTCTGCCTCGTTCGGATTTCTTCTAAAAACGTTCTCCGGGCATTTGCCTTCTCTCTTCTTCTTCTTCGATCTCTGACGATCTTCTGCCGAACGGTCTGATCAGATTTGCTTCTATGGTGGGCCAAAAACTCAGTGTCAGGCCCATATGATATTTTAGTTTAAAGACCTTTTAATGAAGCTCATTATTGACATCATATTCAGAAATGAAGCCCATGGCTTAGGCCTAGCGTGTTTTTGTATTGTACTGTATTAATAACCGGTCTACATAGGACCAATATTGGATCAGTTAAATCCATCATAATCTAGTTAAACATATCAAATTATTAATAACCGAGACATGCTGGTTACAATGTCACTCACAACTAGGTCAGATCGATCTGAAGTCATCCGGACCAAAAAAAAACTAAAAATGCGTCATGGTATAACTTGGTTGGACTGATCGGTCCAGATTCCACACGCAATATTAGTGGAGAAAAATCATTGGGCACGTACATTAAAAATGAGCCAATTAATTAAGATTATAAACCTAGAAACAATATAATATAGTTTCAATACTTAAAGATTAACCTCTGTTACCTGTAAGTAAACGTAACGTTTGATCAAATCATATGTGTTTTAATACATTTTGATAATATAATGGGCGGTGCAAAGCTTATTAAGGATAGTGTAAGAGTGCAAAAGAAATAATTAATGGAAAAAGGAAAAAGGGAAGAAAAAAACACAATGGTGGACGAGTTGTGCTAGCTAGCTACAACACAAGATGATGATGATTAAGACAAATAATGATTAGCTCTATAAATAGTCCAAGTGGGTTTTAAGGGCCCGACCAGGCTGGTCTATCTCCTTGAAATAATAACACACGCCTGTGTCTAGTTTTTTTTTTTTTTAATAAATAGTTTATATGTCTAGTTAATTGACTAATTAGGCATTTAAGTTATCAAAAAGATTATGGTGAACAATGATTTTTTTGCGTGTACAGATATAAACTTTTGATGAAATATTTTGTCTAATATAATATATAATGGCGGATTTAGAGATTACTTTTAATGGATGCAAACAGAATCGGCTAAATATGAACTTGTGACTTTTATTTTTACAGAATTTTTTTTGTAAAGAAAAACAGTCCATTTTTTCTTCTGTAAATTGCGGCCTTCACTATTTTTCAAAATTTTAAGACGGGCTCTGAATGCAAAAATCCAAAAATTTAGAGCCAAACTTCAACATTTTTAGTGTATGTATTATAAAAATCAACTAAAATTACATTCATCTTCAAAAATAATATGGGTGCACGTGTATCCCTTCACAACACCATAGGGTCCATATTAGTGTCGATAGCGTGCCATAACTTATATTCATATCGTCGCGTGCCAACTAAATAGTGCGACACATTAGTAAAACCCTTGTTTTAAAAAAAAAACTAGTGCGACACACAAAATGAAATTTTAATACGAGGTCTGCGATCAAGAAAATTCTTTTTTTCTTTGTTTGTTAATTGTAAATATTTATTAAAAATTAAACGTTTAGATGTTACAAAATGTATGTTAATAAATTGATCTACCTAATGTTTAATTGATCCTATAATAAAAAAAAAAGAAGAAAAATATGACAGTATACTTTATCAGAATCTTAGCTTAAAAGTATTTGGTATCGATTAGTAGCGATAACAAGTTTGAAAACCCAAATAAAAGAGGAAGCCATGATTGAATCGAAAGGAGAAATCACGAAAAGCCATTAGGGAAACCTCTTCTAAACGGACACATAGGCTGTTTCATCCGGTTTTCATATCTTTATGGCTCGATTACTAAGCCAACACAAAATTATTTTTAATTTTTAAACATCCAAAGGAATAAGCCACATATTTTATGCGTTATAGCATACTCTCATCCGAAAATTATACATGCAATAAGTAGGTATATATATATACATATATATATATGTGTGTGTGTGTATAAGAATATAAGATATATGAAGACTATATGTTCCAAAAAAAGATTATGGTTTTGCAGCCTAATTAACAAGGACTCTTCATTCGTATGTTTAACCTCGTTACTAGCTACTAGCTATAGTTAGAATATATATAGAGTTTATTAGTAATTGTATAACACAACGGTACAATATTTATACTTTTTATACTTCCAATCACAAAACGGTCAGAATTAGTGATGGAAAAAAACAAGTTTTTTCAGTTTTTTTTTTTACTATTTTTTTTCATCGTTTAATGTTATCAATCGAATTCATATAAGAGTTCATTAGGATCCACAGTAAAACAACAGTTATGCTTATACACATCGAAGTGATAAAGTTTGGTAATAAATTCTAGTTGAAACCCGAACACTGATTTTCAATTATGTTAATTATTATGTGTGTGTGTATCGCACTTCCAAAATGATATGATATGCTAAGATGGTCAATTTCACAATGATATCAAAAATAATATCAAATATTTTCCTCCACTCACAAAAAGAATAGTTTTGGTAACTAATAAGCTTGTAATCATTGAGCACGTATGTTATAGTAATAGTTTTTACTATAGTATTAACCGCCTTTTTTAATTCGTGGTATTATATACCAATTATTCTATTCTATAATATGCACCATGAATATTAAATATATAAGGTTGTTTTTCTGTTTTAATTAGGTTTGTCTGCAGGGATCGATCGGATTTATTAATTTAAATATACTATTCTTCTAAGTTTTGTTTACTTTCTTCGGTCAAATAATCATAAGTTTAGTACAATATTTTGGATTACAATGGCTTTGGCTGGCTGCTGAATAAATAGAATAGCTAGGTTTTTCAGAACTGTGTTCTAATTTTTTCTTTCACCAAATAAAAATGGTAATAAATTATTTTGTTTACTGAGAAACCAAAAAAATAGGAAAACTGTATCTATATAAATTTCAGTATCTTTTTCTCATTTTTCTTCTCATTTCATTTGTTACCCTAAATTTTTTACTAGCCAGAGAACTATATTCGTTAACACTAACATTAATAAAAGAAACATGACAATGACCAAAAAAATCTTGGCACAGAAAGAGTGGATAAAAAAATATTAACATTCGAAAAAATCGAATAAAATCATAGCTAAGGAACCAAAAGCTCCATTAGTGATTTGACCATATACATGAGTGCAAACTTCTTTATTCCAGAGTACATTTAGAAAGTGTAGAGTAAAATATGTTTATTACAAGATTATATGTGATATATAATTGTATCATTTGTGTCAACATATATAAATAGGAAATAATATATAATTAGTAGCCATTTTGATCACATTAGTTAACATAATATATCGATTCAAAACATATAATATAATTGTCTGTATAGTTTTGTATTAGTCCTTGTTAATTCACTTCTATATATATTCAAATCTGTATATTATTTGTTGTTTAATATATAGACATTTGAAATATGATGTGACTTTGTCTCTATACAATTTTGCAGAAAGTGGGACATTTCATCAGGGGACTCCGATAGATTAAAGAAATTCACAATCTATCTCGTAATCCTGATAATTAAAAGATATTTGACATAGTTACTCTTTATTTGTTTTCATTCTGAAAAAAAATCTGTTTTCTGCTTTCGGTTGTGTGTGAATGTAGCCAACACGAACCACCTAAACTTGTATGTGTGTTTTTGCACTTTCTTTTCATTTTCTCACATCCGTCATAACATTATATATACACACACTTATTATACAAATATATAAAAGAGAATTTGATTTATTAATCAATTAAAGTATTGGTTAGGGTAAGGGGTAGGGGGCCAGAAAATCAAATGAGAAGAGACAAACGTTACTTTGAAAGATCTTCTTTTTTATCACTTTCTTCGCATCTTGTCTTCCGTATAATATACTTACGTATACAAGCATGTCATGACTACAACATGTAATGTAAATAATTACTTCTAGGCGCATGCACTTCTTCCGTAAATCAATTTCACGATCAAAATGTTCGATCATAAGTTTGTTTGGTAAAGTTCATACATGATATGAAGCATGAAGATTCACAAGTTTTCATCTCAAATATAATCGACAATAAGTGGAGTAGCTTACATCTCTAACGGTTACGGTCGCCAGAAACAACAAAAAATTACGTCTATTATAATTTATATAGTATATTTTATGTCAATTGTATTTCAAGATGAATTTACTCTTTGGTCTAATTTAACTTTGGAATTACTCATTTGTCTAATTTTTTTTTTATATTATTTCTGATTCCATAATAGAATTAGACGAAGAAAAGTTGAGGTTTCACTAATCTTAAAATCAAATATACGTCATATGTTGGGTTGTTGAACCTAACGAAATCTCTAAGAAAATTAACAATATGAAAAGCCTGACATAATAGAAAAAAATAATACGTGATACTATAAGATTATCATAACATTATGTAGTAGATACAGCAACAAGCGAGCGTGACTAGCTTGTTCTTCTTCTGTAGCATGGTTTAATTAGTTAAGGTAAATTTGTAATCGTCAGTAACTATACTCATAGTACTCGTAATGATTCATTAATTTTATGATTGGAAAACCCATTTTTTAAAATAAAATAAGAAGATGATGTGAAATGAAGAAGATAATATTAATAAAGTGAGTTATACAAAATTAGAGGAGAATATGATTGGTGAGAGTGTCATATAATTTCTGATCTCATTCTGAGTGCTTTCTTAGCAAACATCGAAGATTGCATCCCACCGTTACTCCCACTTTCCACGCGTGTGTGTTTTTTCTTTTTTTTTCTTTCCATCTTATATCACATCCTCTCTCTATATATTATATTAATATAAACTTCTAATTAATATAAACTTCGATTACATGACCTCAATGAAAGTTATACTAAATTTATCAAAGGTGACAGTATTCGAAACCGGAGTGAGTGCAGTAGTTTCAGCAGATGCAGATGTACATGTACTATGGATTGAGTTGGCGAGTGAGAATAATTGGGTTGATTGTTAAATCGTGAAAAATAAACATGTGAACGTATTTGCCGTTTTTAT